AGCTATAAAAGAGTTTTATTAATAAAAATGTAACAATCGCTGGGCAATGATATTAATTATTCATTTCTTGTTTGCTTTTTTTGGTGATATCATTCTGGATCTATAGTTAATTATTTTGAAAAAATAGACACACTTGTAACACTGTCTAAAGATGTTGAATTTTCATTTCTCATTCTAGCAATCATGTTTTGAAATGATGTATAATTATCTGATTATGACATAGATGATATTAATGTTAAAAAAATGTGGGAATGTAAAAAAATATAATAACAAATATTTTTTTTTGTTTGTGAAAAAGCTAACTGCATAAAAGAATCTCAAAAATTTAATTTAAAAGAACAGACAATTTTTACATAATTTTTAACGTATAATATTTATGTGAATAAATGGATTAAATCAACGAAAAGCAGCTGGCTAGAAGCGAGAACAGACCCTTGAGATTTGTTTTAGCGGGGTTTCATTACATACAATTTTATCAATAGTAAAATTATACTACCTTTTACATATGATCGATTTTCAGTGAAATCGAATACTTAATGTTATGCGTAATTTTTTTCAATGACCAGTTCGAAAAGTTTTTTTATATGTACGAAAACAATCAGTGGTAGTTTAAGGAGCACACCAATCAAACCGTGGCGTGGGACGGCCAATTTTCGGAATAATGGTAACATTTTTTATTATACATGTGTATAAGAATCTATTTACTTAATGTTTTTTGTGTAAACTCAGTGTTATATGTCCGGAGTCTTTTTGAAAGTATAAGTAAGATAAGTATAAGTAAGAATTTTTGGAAGAACGAAAATTTCCGCAAGGGAATCATCACTAAGTTAGAATTTATAATTGTTTCGAATGTTTTAAGAACAATGAATTAACAAATAAATCGGTGCGAAAAATATAATCATAAACGACTTTGACATCGTCCCTCGAACGCTAATAATTTTTATAGTAAAAACAAATTAGTTTTAGTGTTGTCTCTCCCAATGGAACAAGTCACAAAGACCAACTGACATATTTTACTCGTTCAATTTCCGTAGCACCAAATAAAAGGATCCATCGTTTAATTAAGGCAAAAAAATGGGTAATAATAAGAAAAAATCGGAAGAAGTTATCTTGGAAAAGAATTCAAGGAAACTCGACATTCTTATTAAAGACGACAAACAACGATTTTGTGATATTTTTCATGAGGCATTTACACCAGAATCAGACATGAAAACACACCGAAACACTTCCCAATGAACAAAAAGATTTTGCATGTGACAAGTGCGAATAGTATATTTTGAAACAAGTGCGCGAAGCAGTTGACTCATCCAGGAGTTGTTTACACCCGAGCGTAGCGAGGGTGCAAAGACTCCTAGGTGAGTCAACTTCCTCGCGGACTAGTTGCAAACGATATTTTTTAACATTGCGTGCGCGAAACACGAGTTTTCTAACCTTAAAGCGTCAGAAAACCCGTGTTCCGCGCACGCAGTGTTAAAAAAGAAATTTGAGTTCCGAAGTTATTTGAGTAGACATCAAATATCAGTGCACAAAATCCGCAAAGATTTTGCCTGCGATGAGTGTGAGAAGAAATTTATGAAAAATTCAAGTTTAATTACGCATAAAAAATTATTACACAAAAATCGCGGAGATTACTCGTGTAACAAGTGCAAGCGAAGATTTGAAAGTAAATCAAATTTAATCATGCACAAAAGAATATTCCACGAAGTTTTCAAAGATTACTTGTGTGAAAAGTGCGCTAAAAGATTTGGAAATAAACCGAGTTTACTCCTACACATAAAGACAGTCCACGAGGGTCGCCAAAATTTCGCATGCGACAAGTGCGAGGAGGTATTTATAAAAAAATCACTTTTGCTCTTCCACCTGAAGACAGTACACGAAGGTCGGAAAGATTTTGCCTCGAAAGTCTTTGAAGATTACTTATGTGAAAATTTCTAGAAGAAATTTGGAAAAAAATCAAATTTGTTAAAGCACCAAAGGACAGTCCACAAAGGTTGCAAAGATTATGCATGCGAAAAAAGTGAAAAGAAATTTGGAAAAAAATCACACTTATCGAAACACCAAAGGACAGTGCACGAAGGTCGGAACGATTTTCCCTTGAAAGTCTTCGAAAATTACTTGTGTCAAAAATGCTCGAAGATGTTTGGAAATAAATATAATTTGCTCTTGCACATAAAAACAGTTCACGAGGGTCACACAGATTTTGCATGCGACAAATGCGAGAAGAAGTTTGGAAAAAAATCAGGTTTGTTGAAGCACCAAATATGGTCCATGATGGACGTAAAGATTACCCATGCGACAAGTGCAAAAGGAAATTTGGATATCAACATCATTTGCTCCAGCACCAAAAGACAGTACACGAAGGTCGCAAAGATTTCGTATGCGATATGTGTGAAAAGAAATTTGGAAAAAAGTCGACTTTACTTATACACCTAAAAACAGTTCATGAATATCAGAAAGATTACGCATGCAAAAATTGCAAGAGAAAATTTGGAAAAAAATCAGATTTGTTGAAGCACCAAAAGACAGTGCACGAAGGGCACAAAAATTACCCATGTGAAAATTGCAAAAAAAATTTTGGGTTTCTAAGCGGTTTGATCAGGCACCAAATTACAGTTCATGAAGGTCGGAAAGATTTCGCATGCGATAGGTGTGAGAAGAAATTTGCACTAAAAATTGAATTGTTGAAGTATCAAAAGACAATCCACGAAAGTCGCAAAGATTGCGTATGTGAAATTTGCGACAAAGCATTTGGAGAAGGCACCAAAAAAACAAATCAACAATGTCGCAAAGATTACGCATGCAATAGGTGCAAAATAAAATTTGGACTGAAACAGCATTTACTCAAACACCACAGGAAAGTCAGTCCACGAAGGTCGCAAAGATCACGCATGACATAATTTCGAGAAGAAATAATGATTGACAATTGTCAATATGTACAGATACGTAATGTAGATATGTATATGTAGATATGTAGATATGTATCTTTTTCTAAAATTAAAAAAAAAAATGTTACCAATATGACTTTGGAATATTGTGCTCTATTATTACACCTTTCGTTCTCTGTCGTAATTAGTGCTTTATTTATTTTTCTACCAGACGACTGCTATTTACTACTCTTATTTTTTGGTTAATGTCACGATTAACCGAATATTTTTTTCACGTCTTGATTGGAACTATGAATGGGGCGAGCATTTACTTGGCTACTGGATTTTTGATAACCCTCACGTTTAGATATGCAAAACTAAATTAATAAATTAAACACGAGTGAACGATTTTGATGAACTTGCTAAATATTGATTATTTTAGCTCAGAGAGACTTGATCGAAAACAACAATAAGTTTTTACCACAAAAAATTTGGACTCGATTTAATAATTTAACTATAAAAAGTTTTCTACGTTTATTCAAAATTAGCGAGAGGCTCTCATAATTAATTGAAAACCCATTGAAACGCCATTGAAAACAGGCACATTCAACTTGTATGAGTGTAGAATAACACCAGAACATGCAAAGAAAAAATAAAAGACTCGAATAAACGATATATAAGACTATAGTTTTAAAAATTCTCATATATGAAAAATACTGTATAAAGTAGCTTTAATGATAAATTGTCACTGTCGTCTATCAAAGGTGTCTATCGCGACTAGCGAGAAAACAATTAATCTCCATAAATACGAGTGGAAAGCTTTTAAAGGCTTGCTACCCGCGGATAAGTAAGATATTCGTAGTGAGGACGTTAAATAAGGCAAACTTAAGAATTTATAGGGATACTTTTATGAAATAACGTTATAGCGCGGGATATTATAGTAGACGCGCGAAGGAGGAGAATTTCAGCTTTCGCCGTGGTATAATTTACGCAACTTTTCGTGACTCTACGCGATGTATTTATGCGCGGCTAGAGGGAAGCTTCTTCACCGCCAAAGTTGCACTTTTCTCGACTTAAGCAAAGATATGAGCTCTAAGAGATATTTATCGCAGAAAATTCAGATCTTTCATGAACTCCCCTAAAATGACAAATGCCACCTTCACCAAATGATACAACATGAATTTCTCCGTGATAGTAGGAAATTATGGTAAATAATGGGATACGGATTTTCATGAGCCATCTGTTTCTGGATCACGAAAGACCTTAAATATTTATAGATTCCAAAAAAAAAATAACGAACAAAAATGATTATAATAATTATTTAAATATATTAGTCCTTAAGAAGGATTTTCTATTACAGGAAAATTATGTCTGTAACATTACGTTCAAATGTGTTTGTCGCAGTTTAACTACTCTTATTAACGAATTATGTCGATTTAAAAATATGCAATTTTAAAATTGTCCATTAAAATCATTTTTTGAACAATTTTAGAGAAAAATGTCTGGTTCAACATTGTTATCGACACGACCATAAGCTGTTTAGAAGTTTCAACGAGGAATAAAGTCGGGAGTTCATTCACAGCAGCTCTAAAGGTATTAAAGATCATTTCATACTTCAATGAATCGACACGTTTGAAAACATTTTAAAAATAATTCCTAAAATTCAAAATGAAAAAAGGCTTATAGCGAACTTCGTCTGCACATTTTTTTAATTTGGGAAAAATTTCTCGAAAAATATTTATTTATGAGAAAAAATTTACACGCGCATTAAATCGATTTCCCCACGGATGACTCGTGATCGTAATAAGCATCATTAACTTTTTTCATAATAAAAACTCGTAAAGTATCGATGAACGAACGAAAATTCATCGGGTATTTCAGTTTAAAAAAAAAGGGATTGCACTTTGATTAGCTATATAATCTTAGCGACGATATGAAAATCTATCGATGAACGTTGCACAGCATGTACACTGAAACGGCGAACGAGTGAGCCGCACACAGCGTCGTGAATACGACACTCAAACTGCCGTGGCGCTGCTAACTAAACGTCATCGTNTTTTAAGTAAAAATCACGTATTTGTTAAATACAATACAAAAATAATACAAATTTGTATTCTATTGTTATTATTTATAGCCCTATCTTTGAATCTTTATTATCATGGATCTTTTTTTCTTAATCAAAGAACTTTTAATTTTTATTTTAAATATTTATGCAGATTCTAACTTGCCTAGATCGGTTGTTGATACCGTGATTGATTTTTTTGATAAATTTAATCAAAATCATTTCATACCATCTCTTCGAGCAGATATTTTAGAAGCATTAGAAAATGAACAATTGTCAGAGAGAACTAAAATGAAGTTAAATTCCGTTTTTGACGATTATAAAACGTTGTTTGTTCCACTTAATACAGAGGATAATAGATTCAATTTATTACGTAAAATCAATTATCGTAATCCGCAGGTTCCTGAGATAGGAAATGTATTAGAAAAAAAATCGGAAGGGAATCACACTTATGTTAGTTTCGACCCAGTATTTGCTCTTGTGATGCCTTTAAAGATCACTTTAAAACATTTTCTGGAAATTCCAAATGTTTTTAATTCCATAATGGAATATAGATCCAAATTACTTGAGGAAAATAATCCCCTTATTATAAAAAATATTATTCAAGCTGATTTATTCAGGCAAAAATATATCCCAAAACATTGTCAAGATATTGTGATTCCATATTTCATTTATTTTGATGAATGTGAATGCGGAAATGCACTGGGCAGCTGTGCAGGTAAAAATAAAATGTCAGCGGTCTACTCTCAAATAGCGTGTCTACCTCCTAGTATTGCTTCTCGTCTATGTGCGATTTTTCTTAGCTTATTAATGCATTCTAAACAGCAGAAAAAGCTTTCGAACAGGGAGACCTTCCATAAATTGGTCGATGAGGCTAATGACCTCAGGCAAAATGGAGTGAAAATCTGTGTTGATTCTAAATCGTTCGTAGTTAAATTTGAATTGCTATTGGTGTTAGGTGATAATTTAGGCTTGAATGATATTTTTGGTTTTACGAAATCATTCACAACCGATTTTTACTGCAGAATTTGTAAACTCACTAATGAAGAAGCTAGCCTCGCAACTATTGAAGTAAAATCAAAAATTCGAAAACGTGATGATTATGATTTAGACGCTAAAATAAAAAATGTCAATGAATCCGGAATAAGAGAAGCTTGTATTTTCCACGAAATTCAAAACTTTCACATCACGGAAAATACAAGCATAGACATTTTGCACGATTTCTTGGAGGGCGTGTGCTCTTATGATATACATCAAATTTTAAAAGTTTTTATCTTCGATAAAAAAATTTTTAAATTGAACGACCTCAATGAACAAATAGAATGTTTTGAATATAAACACACTGGTTGTAACAAACCACCACCAATAAAAGAGAATCATCTAAAACAACGGTTCAATTTAAAAATGTCCGCTTCCGAAATTTCATGCCTCACACGATACTTACCTTTATTTATTGGACATTTCGTGGAAGAGGAAGATGAGCATTGGCAATTATTTATTTTACTTCGCCGAATTTTTGATATTTTAGCATGCCATTTTGTTCGACGAGATAATGAAAGTTATTTGCAATCATTGATCGAAGAACATCATGAGCTTTACATTAAATTATTCGGTCCTTTAAAGCCCAAACATCATTTTTTAATACACTATCCTCGATTATTGACACTATTAGGACCATGTGTCAATTACTCGACCATGCGTTTCGAGTCACGTCATCGACCGATCAAATCCGTAGTAACTTCTACAAGCTGCAAAAAAAATCTGTTGTACACAATTGGAGTAAAAGAGCAATTGCGTCTGTGCCAAATCATAAATAATCAGATTTTTATAGAAAATGAATCAGATAGAGAAGATTGCTTCAATATGCTAAAAATTGAGTTAGAAGGCATTAACTATGAAGTAGGAATGTTTTTACCAATTAATATACAACAGCATAATAAATTATTTGGTAAAATCATAAATATCGTAAGAATCAATAAAAAATGTTATTTTACTATGGAAACTTACGAGGAAAAAGATTTTGATTCGCACTACTATGCGTACGTGGTGCGGAGAGTGAACGAAGATCTGTCAATTTTTTCCAAGAAAATATGTTCCGAAACTACCGGAATATTATTTAAAAAATACTGCGGTGAAAAGTATGAAAAATTACTATGTTTCCCATCTGCTATTTAAATTAATTTTTCTATGTATGACTAAATGTAAGATTTCGAAATAAAGATCTAAAATTCTACAGTAAGATTGAAAAAAGGGGTTTGTTTATTTACAACTAAAATTTATGCATAAATACATATTTATGTAATATTAATATTCATAATGTATTAGCCGATGAACTACATATAAATACTTAAACAATATGCGTCTAACATAATAAATTTTAAGTATTTAAAAGAGCAAACTCAAGGCTCTCCGGTAATATCGCATCCTCCTTGTATACACCGTTTGGTACTCGATTCATCGTGTGTACAGCACACGACGCAACGAGGGAACAGTCCCGCCACCAGTCCGAGTGACCTATACTCGAATTATGACGAGACAACACTCGATATCGATGTTCCGAAACTCGAGAGTGCTCGAGTATCTGCGCGCTGATCGTCGCGTGACTAGTGCTCGTTCGCCGTTTCAGTGTAGAAAAAACGAACGTTGACAAAGCGTGAAAACAATCGTCATCTCTTCCAGCCTCGCGAAACAGTTCGCAAGCTTTGCACAGGAGTATTCGTATACATACTTCGGGGAATTTTGTTTGCTTCTCACTCTTTGCCGGGGTTGAGCGTGTGGCTGCGCCGCGCTCGTAAAATGTTGCATTTTAATCAGCGTATATCTATGACGATAAAACGCCCGAAGAATACCCAAGGGAATTGGGATATAATTATTACATCCGAGTCCTGAGCTCGAAACGCCGGTAGCTCGGTGTCAACGTTACGGATTCATCCATGCGATCATCTCCGTTTTCTTGCTAATTATTAATTACACCTCGACGAAAATATTTTGATTTTTTCAGACACTGAACTGTTAACGTAGACTCGTAACTTTTGATACCTCTTTTGTGAATATAGTCGCAGCAAAGATAGTTTAGATTTTTGAAATCTGAGTTCTGACCTGAGTTTGGTGAGCGAAATCGCTTGAAAACAGTCGAGCAACGCACGAAATGACTATTAAACGTGATTTTTCTTTTGCTTTCGCGAATGAATTCCTTAGATATTCAATGTATACATTCTTGAATATTTCAAGGTTTCCCGGTCGATGTAGAATTGTAACGGCGAAGGTACACTCGGATATTAAAAATTACTTAATTGTTCACTCGAGTTCCACAATACAAAAACAGACCGTTGTAACTTGACGCAAGCAGTGGCAGTCGGCCGCGGCAGATATGGCAACTTCAGCGCCATCTATTCGATTTCAGTAGTACCAAGCATAGTCGATCAGGTATGATAGCTATGGATAAAACAGTAAAATGTTTTCATAATATATGAACAAACAAAACAGGTGAGTGTCATTATTCAGAAACTCCTGTCAAATTTCTACAATGTATAATTTTGATTTGTTAATTGTAAAAAGCGCTGAAGTAATTGGTTTTTTTCGGGAAAATGAGATTAATTCAAAGATTTGTAAAAAATAAAATTATTCGTTCTTTAACAGTTTATGTCATTAAAAATTGTCGATTAATTTTTGTTATAGTTCGCAAATCGCTAATATTAGAAATACCATTATTTGAATAATGTATTGAAATAAAATCATCACTTTGATAAAAAAGCAGCTTAAATGAAGACTCTCATTAAAATCAAAATTTTGTAAAAATATGTGAAATTGTAAGTTCAATCGGTCTGAAACACCTGTGTGACGTTGCGAACGTTAATTAACGTTACGCACATTATGTGTATAGTAAGTCTAGGCATGTATTATAGTGGGAGAAAATTGACCACTCCGCACAATCCTGCCGCTAAAGAATCGCAAAGGTTAGGACATTGAATGGGTGTAGTGAGAGACACACCACTAGCCAGTATATCCATAAGATTCGCGCGGCGCAAACGTACGTGTACGCCAACGCTACGCGACCATTGTAGTCGCTCTTTAACAAGCCTGCACATGAATTAAAGGTAAGTCCGATTTTCGACTTTCATTTTTCGAGTTTTTGACATTTTCTTCGAATTCAGTGGCGGAAACATGCGCCGATGAGCGATCGGAAAATCGAATACAAAAATTCTTTCTGCTGCGTATACTGTGTGCAAGATTCATCGCTTGCCAGCCACTCCCATGATGAGAGAACAAGTGTTTTCCCCTCCACTGCTCGGCGTCTGTATACACGCTAACGAGCAATCTTGAGACATGAGTAATAAACAACTGTTGATGTCTTTCTCTCATTTCTGATAAAAATAGATCCAATTCGATAATTCGAATTTTTTTATATGGGAGGTGCTTAGATACGAGATTAAATTAAATAGCTTGTGCAGACGTTGATGTTACCGCTATTCGATTTTTCGAGAGCTCATTTCTATGCTGAATTGAATTCATTTCTGTGATTAAAAATTGCTAATTTTTTTCGCACAACTTGCTAGATGACTCAATGACTAAACAATTATAATGGTATTTTTTTCAGGCAAAATGACTGTGACAGCACAGTTAGTGCTATTTGCAGTAGCCATAAACGCAGTTTCTGCTCAAACTTATTATTACAATGAGATCGAGCACAGGTGTCCCAAACCATGGATATCCTTCCAGGACACTTGTTATCGCTTCATCAAGAGTTTTAGATCTAGAGAAGAAGCTCGAAGAAATTGTCAGGCATATCAAAGTGAACTGCTTACTATAAATTCTCTCGATGAGCATAATCATATATTAAGAGAATTGCTTCAACAAGATCCACAACATAGAAAATGGTATACTGGTGTGAGAATGCAAGGCACTTATTGGACCAATGATGATGGCACTCAATTAATAAATATGGAGAATTCATTTTTACCAGATCAGAATGAATATAATGTTTATGGTAGAGATTATCTGGTTTATGGATATAGTGAATTAGTTAAACGCTGGGGGTTGGAAAAAGTTTCTGGTCATGAGCCTCATTATTATATCTGCGAAGCACCTACATCAAATTTAGCATATCTTCTAGATGACAATCGTGATTATCAATATGGTATTGAAGTGAATGACCCTCTAAAAATTCCAAGAGGTCCTTATTTTATTAAACAACCAGTTAACAAAGTGTTCGATGTAACCAAGAGAGTTGTTTCTGATGATGTAACAATGGGTTGCCTTGCTGGTGGTTATCCAGCTCCAACTTATGAATGGTTCAAAGAAGATTATCATAATGACAAAGTAATTGCCACAAAAATAGATCCTCTAGCGAATGATAGATATACAGTTAGCGGTGGTACCCTTATCATTTTTAGTCCAAATCAAACTGAAGACAGAGGTAGCTATCACTGTAAAGCTACTAATAAATATGGAACAATTAGATCTGAAAGTGTTGAGCTATCATTTGGATACATACTTGAATTTAATTTGAAAAGACCCGAAGAACGTGGTGATGAACATTGGGGTAAAGCTATTTACTGTGACCCTCCACAGCATTTCCCTGGTGTCAAATATTATTGGGCCAGAGAAGCATTTCCTTACTTTGTAGACGATGACAACGAGAGACTTTTTGTTTCAAATGATGGTGCTCTGTATTTTTCTGCATTAGAAAAAATTGATCAAGCTAATTATTCATGTAATGTGCAAAGTACTGCTTCCGATACCGGACGTAATGGTCCTTTCTTTCCGCTTTACGTTAGCCCTCATTGTAAGTACTGTTAATTTATTTTTATTCATCAACTGCATATTATAGCTGTTAAATTTATTTTTCAGTGACGCCACAAAATTTGAAGTTTCCCAATAACTTCCCAAAAATTTTCCCGGAAGCACCTATCGTTGGTGATCAAGTTAGAATGGAGTGCATTGCTTTTGGATTGTAAGTGTTATTTTGAAGCATTCATTGATTGTTCAACATTTACAGCTGAAATTTATAAATTTAATCCGTTACAGCCCCGTACCTTCTTACAATTGGACGCGATTGGGATCAGATTTACCTCGAGGGGCATACACAACAAATCACAATCGTGTTTTGATAATCCCGCGTGCTCGCATTGAAGATCAAGGCGAATATGTTTGCCGTGCTCGTAACGAGAAGATTTCAATAAAAAATTCCGTTTACTTATCTATTCAAGCTGCTCCAAACTTCACTGTACCATTGGTCGACAAACATGTGGATAATCACGGTGATTTAACGTGGATTTGCGAAGCTTTTGGTATTCCAGATGTCAGTTATACTTGGTACAGAAATGGCGAAATAATTGATTATCTCAATATGCCACCTGAAGACAGAGACAGGTACATAATACAAGACAATGTCTTAAAGATCAAGAGCTTAGATCCAGAGAAAGATGAGGCAATGTACCAGTGTGAAGCTAAAAATCAACTCAAGACCAGGTACTCATCTGCTCAACTCCGAGTTTTGTGTAAGTAAAGAGTTTTATTAACGTAAGCATTTCAAGTATGGCAAACATTTAAACTAAAATTTTTAATTACAGCTTTAAAACCATCATTTAAAAAATTCCCACTGGAGCCGGAAACTTTTGCTGCTGAAGGCGGCAATGTAACAATGCGATGTAATCCAGAAGCAGCGCCAAAACCCAAATTTACATGGAAAAAAGATGGCAACGTTATCGGTAGTGGTGGACGTAGACGCATTCTCGATACTGGTACTCTCATGATTAGTCCGGTTTCACGAGATGATGAGGGTACTTACTACTGTCAAGCATCAAACCAGTATGGCAATGATGAGTCTCGTGGACGTCTAATTGTTTTAAGTAAGTTTTAAAATTTTAAATACATAATTACTGTGGAAATTATTTTTATTAACCAATATAAATTTTAAATTAGACGGTCCAAGATTCATTGAATCTTTACCACAGAACATCCCTACCGCTGTTAACTGGAATCAGACTTTGCGTTGCCAAGCCGAAACGGATGAAATGCTTGACATGGCCTACCTTTGGTTGCACAATGATATGCTCATAAGGGACAAAGATCTCGAAGCTAATCCGCACATTGTCATCGATGGTGGAGTCTTGGATATCATCAATGCTACCCTTGCAGAGGCTGGCGTTTACGAATGCATCGTGACGAGTGCTGTAGGCAATATTTCGTCTCGTACAACTGTAACGATTCGGGGTCCACCTGGACCACCTGGTGGTGTGCAAGTGGTCAATGTAGTCAGAACTTCGGTCACGCTTTCTTGGACTGACGGTGCTTATCATGGCAAACCAATCAATAAGTACTGCATCAGTGCCAAATCAAACTGGAATCAGACTTGGTTCAATTTAACAGAAAGTAAGCCTATATTTCATTTTATAATGGCAAAATTGTAACATTTTAAATTACATATGTATTTTTTTCTATAGATTATACAAACTTCATAGAAATCGATAGGTACAATGGTCGTAAGCAAGTATATCTTGAAAATGTTCTCAAGCCATTTACGATTTACGAGTTCCGCGTACAAGCTGGAAATGAGCTCGGTTACGGGCCTCCATCGATGTCATCACCTCAATATAGTACACCACCTGACAAACCTCAAAAAGCTCCATCTAATATTCGTGGTGGCGGGGGTTAGTTTTCACAAAATTAATGATTTTTCTATGATGACAATCATAATATTTTTATGAAATAATTTTTCAATTTTTTAATAGGCAAGATTGGAGATCTTACTATAAAGTGGGATCCTCTACCCAACTCTGATCATTACGGCCCGGGTATTTTTTACAAAGTATTCTGGCGTCGTAAGGTAGGAGAAACTGAATTCCAATCTCTAGTATTGAAAGAATTTGGTAACACCAATATGGCTGTTGTAACAATTCAACAAGCATATTTTTATACTGAATATGAAGTTCAAGTCCAAGCTGCTAATGCTATCGGTTACGGCCCTAAATCTGAAATTGTAACTATTTACAGCGCTGAAGATATGCCACAGGTAAGTTTTCGGTTATAATAATAAATATTTAATGAATCACTTTTTATAATGTTTGATATTTCAATCAGGTTGCACCACAATACGTGTCTGCTGTATCATACAACAGTACTGCTTTAAATGTAACTTGGAATCCTATCGAGCAAACTCGCGAACGTGTACATGGTAAACTCATCGGTCATCGTATCAAATATTGGAAGGAAACAAATCGGGAGGAGGACGCAGTATATTATCTATCTCGTAGTACCCGACCATGGTCTCTAGTTGTTGGTTTACAACCAAATACATATTATTATGTGAAGGTAAGTGTATAAATAAATGTACTGAAAAAACTTATTCTATACGATTCATTAATTTTTTCTCTGATTCGATAGGTAATGGCTTATAACTCGGCTGGTGAAGGACCTGAAAGTGAACGTTATCTCGAGCGTACGTACCGTAAAGCACCTCAAAACCCACCATCGTCAGTCTTTATTAGACCCCTCAATCCAAAAACGATTCGCGTAACGTGGCGTTATGTACAAAATATCAATGATGAGGAGCCAGTCATTGGCTTCAAGATTCGCGTCTGGGAATCGGATCAAGATATGAGCACGGCCATCGATACACTTGCTCCAGTAGGCTCAATCGATCAAATAATTGACCATTTAACACCTGGAAAAGAGTATAGACTACGTGTTTTGGCCTACAGCAATGGTGGAGACGGTCGAATGTCAAGTCCGGCGCATACTTTCAGAATGGGCGACGATTATGATTATGGACGTAACGCTGCTTATAAAAAAGCCATGGACGTAATTTTGCTTATTGTAAGTCTTGTGTTCGTAAGACAGTTCAGATTTGTTTGAAGCGATATTATAATATTTATAGCAATCTCGATTTTCAAAGTAAAACTGCCTGTCGAAATACTTCGATCTAAAAATATAACAGTCCTTCCAGATAAAATTCAATTTCAGAACTTTTTACAAGTTGATTAATGATAATAACTATTGTAATGTAGTAAAATTAAAGCCTAATATTATACATTTTTCCGGAAAAGTAACGTTTGCAAAAAAGTAGCTATATAATTGTAAAAACAATGAAAAACTATTTAAATTGAAAAATACTGCACAATTAGAAAATCAATAATTCTAAAAGAGATATTACGAAAAAGCCTTGTCCAATCGACCAAAGCAATGAAAACACTTGCAAAATCAAAAATTCTAAAATAAAAATATATACCTACACACCGTAGTACCTTACCAAAAAGTTACTATTTCACAAGTTTAAAATTTCGAAGAAATGTGCAAAATTATATCTGACTTTAACGCAAAGACCTATTTTTACATAAAAAATGATAAGTATACAAATTGAAATGATGCAATATTCATTGGATTTTAATTGTAATATATATAGTAAAAAACGATACAATGTTTTAGAATGCATGATGTCTAAGAAATATTAAATAATAATAGAAGGAGTATAGCTTGATTAATTTGAAACTTGTTAAATAATCAATAGCAAAACCAATGAATGCAAATATTATTATGGTAAATCGTTGTGATTAAATTTTATTGTAATATTTTGATAACAAGAAAACTTTAACTGTTGTAATATGAAATTGCTATGCTAATAGGCGTTATTTTTTCAATAGTTTTTGAAAAAAAATGTATTGTATGTCTACAAGACACCGATCATAATCCTCAAATAATATGATTAAATGTATAATGTAACACTAGTTTATAAGGTAAAACTGAGAATCTCAAAACTGAGAATCTGCGAAGAAATATGTTCGTCCGTCCATTTTATCCAGGTTGTAACGTAGTTAGTTTTATAATAAAAATCAACGTTTAGATTAGTATATATTTGTATATTCATAGCGTAGTATTAGAAGATTGTACTTTATATCTATTCATTTACTTTATTTAATTTTGCGCCATCGTTTTGTTAATTTTAATTTTCAAAATTGCGCATCAAGATAGTGATTAATTTCCGTCCTTTTATTTCGATCGATTCTATGTAAAGGGGAAAAATATGAGGTTAGCTATTCGAGTAAATATTTTTCCCTCCTCATCGTATCTTTTTATTTTTTACAAAAAAAGAAAAATTAAATAAAAGTTTTTTACTTTGAAAAATATTACTATGAAACGATGCATCATTGCGAAATTGTCGCTTCGCTCTAACCTTGGGCTCGGCCAATCCTTATCCTCATCATCATTATCGGCCTCGCGTGGTGTTTAACAATATTATAATGACGCAAATATTCCCAGTGAGCAGCTCTCGCATTATGTACAGGCGTACACGACACAAGCCGCGCAAAGGCGACAAGCACAACACGCGTGTGTGCTCCCTCGAAGTTATTAGATATTACATCGCGTGGGTGGAAAGGGGCTTCGGGTCATTTGTATTCAGACAACCACGCATGAACTTCTCCCTTCCAAACTCCTTATTTAGGCATATATCGGGACGCCAAGACAGAAGCGAGAACGACTTTAAATATCGCTCCGCTACGTATGTACTGTTATAATATTTCGTGTTCGAGTGTACTTTCAGCATCGATCCAATCGAAATAATGTTCACTGGATGGTACCGATGAATATTCATTTCTTTCGGAATCCGGACGATGGAACGTCGGCTATTAGACTTTATGGGGGAAGGCTGGAGTGAAAAATATAGCATTGTTGTTTCGAATAAAAATAAAATGAGAGATGACCTCCGATACTCGGAACGAGCTCGCGCGATTGACGCTCGATTGTGCGTAGGGAAAAATATCGTCGCTCGCGTCGGGGTGCGTATTTCGTTAAAGGGAATTAAAAGTCCTCGGAGTTACTTTCCCCCTCCAGAGTTGATCGAGGAGCTTTCGAAAGCGGAGTCGATCAGAGTTTGCGTTATAGCAGAAAAAAAAGGCAAAACATAAATACAAAAATCTGTCAGGCTGCAGCTGCGCGACGAGCTATACACGAGAGAGAAAGAGCTCGAGGGGGACATTGCCGCATAGGAAATTTCCGTAAAAGTTGCAAAAAGCCAACGAGTGCAACAAGGACACACCCTGCGAGTGGCTGCGAGGCAGCAGAAAGGCACATAAAATCGCGCTCGCTGTGTGTACGTGCAAGTTACACGCACAGGATACACGACATATAGATATTGTTGTGTATAAAGTAAAGTACGGGCAAAGAAGATAGACACGTATAGAAGCCCAGAGCTTAACTAAAAATTGAGGCTGGCTCATATGATACCAAAACCAACTTCAAGGGGGCGCGGCGAGCAACCTAAGCCTGTAATGTATAACCAACATTTAGTCCCTTAGTTACCAAAGTCTTCGTGGTCGAGTGGTCAAGCGCTCGGCTTCGTCTTTTGCGTCGAGCGGTCGGGCCTTGGTTCAATCCCTGGCCGCAGATATTTTTTTTTACATTTTTTTCTCAAATTACAAAGAATAAAGTAAGGATTTCGCTTCTAGCTAATATTGCTTATGAAATTAAAAGTACTCTGATAAATTTATTTATTAAGGGATTTTTTTAAATGTGAAAAATAATAATCAAGCGATACGGTCCATTTAAAATTGGAGTCCGAGATATTTTCATAAAAAAGAAACTTCATTTAACGAAATTGACACGAAATTTTTTTTCGAGGCGTCTAAATATACATTAATTTAATTTAATTTGCGTTTGAATTAAATGTGATTTTTTATTTTTTTGTAGAAAAAAGAACATGAAAAAAAACGTTTGATTATCAATGCAATTTTAATTTTACGACCAATATGAGCTAAAAACGAAATCCTTACTTTATTCTTTGTAATTTGAGAAAAAAATGTAAAAAAAAATATCTGCGGCCTGGGATTGAACCAAGGCCCGACCGCTCGACGCAAAAGACGAAGCCGAGCGCTTGACCACTCGACCACGAAGACTTTGGTAACTAAGGGACTAAATGTTGGTTATACATTACAGGCTTAGGTTGCTCGCCGCGCCCCCTTGAAGTTGGTTTTGGTACCATATGAGCCAGCCTCAATCGCGCCTATAGTTCTGTGCTTCTATACGTGTCTATCTTCTTTGGTACGGGTAGGCCAGAAGCGGAGAGAGAGAGAGAGAGAGAGAGAGAAGCAAGGCAACGCGGGGAAAGAGAAAGAGAGAGAGAGAGAAAAAGCGAGTGCATCAAGTCTGTATGAGCACATACAAGCACACACGCAGAGACACATACAAGTATATAGTGAGCCGGGCCCGCGCGCGCGTCGCAGACAGTAGCACTGCTCGTCGCTTACATACTGTATGTTATTACACATTCGCACACACACATACATGTACATGCATTCATAAAAGAGGGGAAGCTTCCGCGTGCTTATGTTCCGCGGCATCAAGCATCGTCGTCGCCGCGCGTCGTTGTCCTCGAGTCTCCTATCAACTGCTTATTTTACAACTGCTGCTGCTGCTACTGCTGCTTCTGTCGCTGCTCGTCACTCCTAAATTGTCAGATAGTGATTCAGAGTCGGTCGTCGCGCCGTTGACATCGGATAGCATAAACACATCTCTCTGGCAGCGGCTTGTTTACATCGCTTGCATTTATTTTTTAAAGGTACACAAAATCGTACTCGTGCGTGCAGTGCGCCGCGCTGCTGCTGCTGCTGCTCCCCGCGAACTTTTAACATGGATGTGCGTCTGTGTGCGTACTTCAGTGTCTGCTTGTGTGTGCGCGTGTGTTTGTAACGTAGCGGTACCTCTATACACATCTCTCGGTACATAGTGGGTGGTGGCGACAGTGGCAACAGCGGCCAGGCACAAGCACAGTGCCGAGACACCGTATAGTGTAGCGGCTTTTGTTTTTCATTGCCATTGTCGTTGTGCCGCTCTGCGCGTGCATCGTCGTCGTCGCGTTATCCTTTACTTGTCCATCGATAAATATAGCGTTAATAATAGTAAATAGGTGTGATTCGGCTGTGTTCAAGGGGCATTCAGAGAACCGACTGTTTATTCTTGTCGATTATATCATAAACCAATACTTGCGTCAATCTCGAGGTCGCGATCGCGCAACGATGCACTGAGAGAGTCTCGATCGCCGTGAGTAATCTCCGCTACTGACTTTTGCGCCTGTACATGCATGAGTAATAACATCGTCGCGCCTTCGTAAGGATTCTCAGCTGTCTTATTTGATATAAATACAGGCAGCGCATATACGTGCTTAAATGCGCTGATCGCGCTTACACGAGCTTTCGAGCCGCAGGCATTGGAAAGAAAGAGAGGGAAAGAGGAAAAGAAGCTTTTTTGTTGCTGCATGTGTTATATATACATCGGCGAGGCACTTGTGTCGATCGTGTAACTGTGTGTATGTGTACATAAAGCGGCTGCAGTAAACTACCGTGTAATGTGAAAGTTTTGCCACTGATCGTGCCAATGGGCACATCGGCGTTGGTCTTTTATCGCGCGCTATAAATATATATCTGTGCGCGTGCATTGCTATTTAAACATTTTTTTTACGCGACGCGCGCGTAAGCCGCAACTAGCTCGTTTTCTCCCGGTGCATCGGAGATTCTTTCCAGACTCCGAATCCGACAGAAACGTAAATATTGATCTGAGTGTTTTCGATAAGAAAAAAAATTACGTTGTATCGAAAATTCTCCGATTTCTCAAAATAACTTGTCAAGTGTGTGCATATCTGATTTGATTTGAATTTTTTTTATCAATTTCAGTTGCTCGAAATTTTGCGAATTATCGATTTTTTTATCGCGTTAATACGTATGAGTAACGAATATTATGTCGATTCTGCTGTATACCGTAGTACCATTTAAAAGTTGATCAACCTGAAACAATACTTTCACTGTAAAACGGTAATTATCACTTTCTCTTTTGTTACAGATTTAATGATTAACTAGGACAAAGACATTACAGTCAGTTGGGAAGTAACAGGCATTTAAAGACAATAACCATGGCGTGGCGATTCAAAGCATCCAAATACAAAAATGCAACACCCATTGTACCCAAGCCTGAAGCATGCATCCGTGACATCTCTGTTGGATCTTATCAGACTTATGGAAACAATATAGCAGCATCTGCTGCATTTATGGCATTCAATGTTGATCATAATGGTGAGTGTCAATAACTTTTTTTTTGCATTTGCTTTGTATCAACTTTAATCAACATTTATTTTTTAGGCTCCAGTTTGGCTGTTTTGCCATTGGAGGACTGTGGCAGAAAAAGTAAAACTATGCCTCTGCTACATGCTCATGCTGATACTGTAACTGATATGGATTTTTCACCTTTCCATGATGGGCTTCTTGCAACTGGGTCTCAAGATTGTTTGGTACTGTACTTGACTATTAGAAATCAAATAAGATGGGTCTTCTATTTCATACAATTTTCTTCTATAGGTAAAATTATGGCATATCCCAGAAGCTGGTTTAGAAGAATCTTTATGTAATCCAGAATGTACATTTTCTCACCGCCAAAGAAGAGTTGAAGTTGTTCGCTGGCATCCCAGTGCTGAGCATTTGTTAACAACTGTTTCATACACTAATTTATCACTTTGGGATGTACTATCACAAAAGGAAATATTTTGTACGTTTATTATTAGATTTTAATATTTGTTCTATTATTCATAGTAGACTTCTTAGTTTCATCATAATTGTAATTTTGCAGCTAACAATGAACATAAAGAAGTTATTCAATCCGTCAGCTGGAAACAAGACGGTACTCTACTAGCTTCTACATGTAAAGACAAGCAAGTCAGAATTATAGATCCCCGTACTACCAAAAACATTGTAAGCTCAGCTTCTAGTCACCAAAGTATAAAAGATTCCAGAATTGTGTGGCTGGGCAATAGTGATAGAATTCTTACAACTGGTTTTGATGCTGCCAGACTGCGTCAAGTTTACATTCGTGATTTAAGAAATTTGAGTGATCCAATAAAAACATTGGAACTTGACTGTAGTACAGGGTAGGCAAATTTTTTAATTTATTCATTACATAGAAATTGTAAAATTTATTAAAACCTATTTGTCTTTTATAGAATTTTGATGCCATTATTTGATGCTGATACAAACATGCTTTTCCTGGCTGGAAAAGGTGATACTACAATAATGTATTTGGAAGTAACAGATAAAGATCCTCATTTAGTGGAAGGTATTAGACACAGTGGTGAACAAACCAAAGGTGTATGTCTAGTACCGAAACGTGCTCTTAATGTTATGCAAGCTGAAGTTAACAGAGTACTTCAACTGACTTCTTCAATGGTCATCCCAATCATGTATCAAGTCCCAAGAAAGGTATGTATCCATTATTTTGCTTTTGAAAGGATTGATTTTTAGAATATTTAAAGTATTCATAATTATTATTGTAGACTTATAGAGATTTCCATGCTGATATATACCCAGAAACAGCTGGCTGCATTGCAAACAATACAGCTATTTCTTGGATACAAGGACATAACTTACCGGTACCAAAAATATCATTAGATCCAGCTAAACGAGCAAAGGGTGAAGAGCCAATAATGGTAAGAAAATTTTTTTTAGAGTTTCAGTTACATTTTTTTCTACTTTATTATATTTTTATTTGATTAGGTTTGGTATTTTATTTTATTTTAATAGCGTGTTTGAGAGTGAATGTGTATTTTAGATATTAGAATAATTGCATACTTTAAGTTTCTCATTTTACATTATTTTGTATTTGTTATGTAATATTACCATCACCAACACCATCATATTTGTTTTAGTCAATGTTTGCAGCATTCTATTTATCATAATATAAAACTATTTTTCAAGAAAAAATCTTCAGTAACACCAAACACTTTTAAGGATATAAACTACAGCACTTTATTCTTGATTTATATTGCGTATTCTTGTATACTTTTTATGTTTACTCATTTAATTTTTCAGAAAATTTTAATTTTTTTGAATTTCCACTTGTATCCACTTTGTTTAAAGACAGTATGCACTTTGGTACTGATGATCAGTAGTTCTGTATTTTATGTGTAAGTAATTTCATTTGTTTGGAAATTCTCTATATTATTCTAAAACTCAAACATTTCATAATTATTTTACTTTTTTTACAATTTGTGAAAATTTATTTTCTCTCTAAAAAGTTCATTAAAACTAAAACTAAACTTTTTGGAAATATAAGGTACACAAGGGAAATCTTGCAACACTGAAGAGAAACCAACCTGAACTAAATCTCGAAATTCGTCAGCAAAAAGCGATTGCAATGTCAACTCCAAAAGGCTACACAAAAGCCGCAGCTTACATAATCCAAGACAAAGAGGAACTTAAAAATGAATTTAACGACGATAGCGACGATTATCGTAAAGCTGAACTAGACAAGCTCGAAGATGAAAAATCAAAAATTCAAAATGGGGCCTCCCACGTTCAACCTCCAAAACCACTGCCAAGATCTTCCAGGGCTAACAGTCTTTCGGACGAAAGTTCAAAGGAAGACGTGAAGCCCGTTGCTAAACCGAGAACTACCCAAAGTCCGGGTGCCGTTGTAACTTCGGTCAATCCAAATTGCATCAGTGGATATAAGGTTTGATTTCATAGGGCTTAATAGGTGGATAGGATTAATGTGTGCCTGTTTGTGTATGTATGTCTGATAAATTTAATTGTTTTATCGTCATTTGTAATTTTACTTAGCTGTAAAATTCATTTGTACCCGAGTTTAGTCTTCGTAATTTTAAAATAATGTAAACTATGCTGTGATCCATGTTTGAGTCTCTGCAATATTCTTATTACTTTTGTCTAGCCACGACTCGGTCCAAAGCCATTTCAAGCTAAGTCCGCCAGTCAGGAGTTTTCTTTCGATCGAGTTTTCTCCGTACCGCAAGCTCCCAATCTAAGCGAATCTAATGGAACTACTAATGGCGCAAGCAATGGTCACTCGGATGCAAACAACGAAAACGGAGCGGACAAATCTCCAACGTACGAGAACGATCGTCAAGAAGCGACGAGCAAAAGTGATTCTAGTTCTATCGAGGAAGATGCCAATTCTAGTGATTCCGGTTATAAACCTAAAACTCCTAGCACTGCCGAGAGACGGAAATTATTTGAAGTCAAGCCACCATCCAAAGATGAATCCCCGGAAAATGAGGATCCTGGAAATTTCGAACGCGGTGGTTCAAATCGCAATTCGATTGCCGAACGTCGTCGTCTTTACGAAAATCGCTCGGCATCGGCCACGGATGGAAATCTAGCTGAAAAAGCTGCTGGTTCTCCAACGTCCATCCGAAGGCGCGACAGTTTCAAGAGTAAAAATGATCTTACTAAAGACGAGGAACCACAGCCTCTTAAGAAATCTCAACCACCTTCGATGTTGCGACAACAAAGTATGGATCCAAGATTAGAGAGTTCCAGTACCCCAACACCTAAACGTACTTCAACTGTATTTGGTAAAAAAATGATTTTAAAAAGATATCCTTAACTAAAATTGCCAATCATAATATCAAACATTATTTTTATTCATTTTACCAGGGAGAGTATCGAAATTCAGGCATTTGAAAGGTACCCCAGGACACAAGTCCACTCACATTGAAAATATACGCAATATCAGCCGACAAATATCAGGAGAATGTGACGGTTTTCACGGTAACTATTTTTTTAAACAATTTTTTATAAGTTAACACATAGCACGATAAAAATAAATTTATTCCAATTTTTAATTTTATAGCCAATTCCGATCGTGTTGCGGTACCCTTAAGTGGTCCTGGAGGGAAGATCGCTGTACTGGAACTTAAAAAGACTGGAAGGTTACCGGATGGCGTTATGCCAGCTTTGGTACATGGTGCAACTGTTATGGACTTTCAGTGGGATCCGTTTGATAATCAGCGTCTTGCAGTTGGTATGTTTTTTCGGTAATTTCATGCTTGAACCATGGTAATGCATTTTATAATTCCCCAATTTTTTTTCATCATAAGCTTGTGATGACGGTATGATTCGCGTGTGGAAGATTCCATCTCAAGGTCTTACTCAGCCAACCAATGAACCCCAACACATCATCGAAGCCCATACCGATAAAATTTATCTTATTAAGTTTCATCCTTTAGCTTCGGATGTTTTAGCATCAGCATCATATGATATGACCGTGAAAATCTGGGATTTAGAACCATTGAATCTAGGTGCCACCATAAAAAATCGCATCACGCTCACTGGGCATACAGATCAAATATTTAGCTTGGCTTGGTCTCCTTGCGGGCAATATTTGGCTACTGCATGTAAAGATGGAAAACTGAGAATCTATCAACCAAGAAATAGTGATATCCCAATTAGAGAGGGAAAAGGACCGGTTGGCACGAGAGGTGCTAGAGTCGTATGGGCTTTGGATGGGCGATTTTTAGTAGTTATGGGATTTGACAAGTGAGTTTCATACTTCAACTTTTTCAAATTGAATTTTTTAGAATTAATATAAAACAATCATAAATGATCACTTTTTGAAGAGTATCGGAAAGACAAATCCTAGTATTCAAAGCCGAAAACCTCAATGCGCCTTTGAATACCGTTGGTTTGGATGTTTCGCCCGCGATTTTAATGCCGTATTACGATGATGATAGCTCAACTTTATTCCTCACTGGACGAGTTAGTACTGACTTTATCGACATCAATTTAATATAATTAAACAACTAATAAAATATAATTTTTAGGGCGATTCAACGATTTATGCGTTCGAAGTAACTGAAGAGACTCCATACATATGCCCACTTAGTCATCATCGCTGTGCTTCTTTACATCAAGGTTTATCATTTCTACCAAAAAACAAATGTGATGTTGCCAGTGTAGAATTTGCTTCAGCTCTAAGACTGACAAACAATACAATCGAGCCTTTGAGTTTCACCGTTCCACGAATCAAAGTAAGAACTGGCAATTAAAGTGAAACATTAATTATTTTTCATTTGAATTATGTTTTTATTCTGTAAATCAATTCTGCTCAGAGTGAACTCTTCCAAGACGATTTGTTCCCACCAACAAAGGTAACATGGAAAGCTACCATTAATTCTCGCGAATGGTTCAATGGATCCAAAAAGCAAGCAGCAAGAATCAGTTTAAAACCACCAGGAATGGATAATTGTAAGTATAAAAAAGTGTCATTTGAAAAAAATGTTCAATAAAAATAAAAAAACAATCCTTCAGTGAGTGAAAGTCAAGGACAGGCAGTAGTTACCGCACCAGTATCAGCAAAGCAAAATTCAGAAAAATTATCTGTATCTCAGCCTTATAGTAGACTAACTGGATATCATCCAGATGTTCGATCGAAGCAGAATGATGTTAGTAAAGATTTATTTTTCGTTGCTTTGTTATTTTTAATTATATCATAGTTACACGTTTTAATTTCAGATACAAAAAACTTTAAGCTCTCTTGTGGGGGACGTTGTAACATGTCCGTTGGAACAAGATTTGATGGAAGGCGTGGACGAACATGAATGGGTGAGTTGCTCAGATTTTTTATTCCACCAGAAGCTGTTTTGTTTGAAAAAATAATTTTTCTAGTATTAATTATTTATTATTATTATTATATTTTGTTACAGGATGAGTAATTTTAGCACTGGATTGCTGGTTTATTTTATAGACAATTATTTATGATGAAATTTTTGTAGCCAATCTGACGGGGTACTTGTGCAAAGGAATTGGAATTGTTTCAGAGTTACGCGAATATTTGCTCATTATATCATATAGCTATACTTCCAATTTATAAATTTCATATTGCAATGTATTCTTATATTCTTGTAACAGTTTTTGCTATAAGTTCGTATTGGTATTATACGAAACTGCAGAGGTAAAAAATTTATTTATCAATACTTTCTGTATTAATTGACTCCGTGTAAAAAATTATATCTGCGAATTGATAAGACATGAATCAATTAAAATTTTTTTAACTATTAGTCAGGGTTCAAATAGTTTTTCAAATATACATTTGTACATGAAAGTTTTACAATTGATGTAAAAGCAAATCGTGATTATAGTTCTAGTCGGGATGCACATTTTATTTTATGCTGAATCCAATACTATTATTAGATATATTACGGTAACGGGTTTCAAGTATCCTTTGAATAAGTTGGAAATTGAATAACTAGAGAGCCAATCCAGTCTTTGTACTAATCGTTGTCTAAGAAAAGTGTGCTATGAATCAAGTTTATAGATTTTTTATATCCATGATGAAAATTAATTGTGCATTGAGCATCACATGACTGCTTACAGTTAAAATATATGAAAAAGCTTGAAATAAGTTAAAAATGTATTTATTGAATGGATAATGTAGGAAGCAATGATTTGAAAAATACAGCAGTAAACATGATTTAGGCTTATTTGAAATATAAGGCGCACATGTTGAGATATCATTCAATATAAGATAACATTTATAATGAGTATAATTGAATATATCTGCATTCAAGTGGAAAATATGCATTTCCTCGCAAAATATCATAAAATTAAAGAAAACGATCTCTCCTATCCTTTTTTTATTTATTTACATCAATTAGTATTTCAGAATTGGCTTTGCAAGCATTTAAATATATATAATTTTATTTCTTCTGTAACAATGATGTTTAGAAGTTATATTTTAGCCTTGCTATATTTATAAACTTTTACTGCGTACTATGCATTTTATCATAGAATATATATATTTATGAATTTTTTTTTAATTAAAAACATTTGTATTAATAGCAGAGTCACTGGAATGAAGTAGTTACCATATTCACAGTGCCATCTGCAAAGACTCATAAATTAAATCTAAAAAACGAACTAAGTGATACATCTTTTGACATTTCTACACATCTATTTCTAAAGTATCTAGAAAGTAGATTAAATACTCAAAGAAAATTTAGTTTTTATTAATTTGTATAACTGTAATCAATTTAAATGGTGAAAAGAAAAGAAACATTCCATTTTTCAAGCACTTTGGAAATTTAATGTTTTAATAAAATGCTAGTGATATTCTAAAAAATGTTTTCTACGTAATTTTATAAACCAAAATACAGATACGAAACTTTCAATGAAATTGTACTATTTATACCAAAAAAAGAATAAATTAATACTTTTGTAGCACAAGAACTTTTATACGCAATATCATTAAAGAAAAAGAGACCGAATTGCAGTTTTGATGAAGGTGTACAATTGACTGCAAAACTGAAATTTTGAGATTATAATTTAATTAGGATCTTTGTAACCAACTTATATCATATACCTGTAATTCACTTATAAAAAATATTTCTATGCTGATGTGTATTGTTGTTTTTATTTATTTAAATAACAGTATACCTGGTTTTTCTTGATATAAATTTTTTATTTCATAATATTTGATCCATAATTGAATCATTTTTTTTTGTTGCAATTAAAAACATACTTAAAATATACAATAATTTTTTTATAAAAAAAAACATTTGTTTTTATCGAACAATTCAATTAAAAATTGACCCATCAACTACTATATCCTACTCTATCACGTGGTATCAACCTCAGTTCACTACCATGTTTTAGGAAAATGTTACCTGAAAAAAAAAAGTTGAAGTATGTAGATAGAAAAATATTTTTATTTTTATAATTATGTTTATTAAATTATTACCAGCAGTTTGCTGAGGATTTATACCAACTCCATCATCTGTGATTATAGCAGATGTAGCTGGAGATACTTTGAATTCTTCTGCAGCAAACTTCAATACTGCTGTAAATGGAGTGTTATCGGGGACGCTTAAACTAAAATAACAGAGAAATAAATGACATTTTTTTACAATACTATTAAAATTACTCTTTGTCAAGACACGCAAGAAAAAATGTTGCTGGAGCTTTTTGGAAATCTTATGTACAATTCTATTTACAAAATACAGTCACGTTCAATACCTTCAAAGACGGCATCTAACTCTTTGGCTAATTTAATTCTCTCTATAGTTGAATTAGCCATACTTATTGGTCCACTTAACAATACTAAAATCATAGCTTCTAAATCATCATAAGTAAAACCTGAATCACTGACCCATTCTCCATTTTCTTCATACATGTTTCTTCCTATGTAAAAAGTAGTATCAATAAAATTAATTTCAAATTTATTATAATCTGTTAAAAGCTTTAGAAGCACTTTTCGTTTTGTATTTTTTAATTCTGTATACAATTTAATATTATTATCTTCGAGTAATTGAGTAAAATAATCTAAAATAAGAGTATTCACAGGACTTTCTGAAATTGATTTATAAGCTAATGAGATCAGTTTTGGAATTTTATCTTTGTGAAACATATCTACAATTAATTCAATAACTTTTTTCCTTCTTCCTAATTCAATTTCATTGTTCCATGAACTAAGAAGAAGTTCATCTTCAATATCTGACTGAGGAAATTCCAGATTCTTAAGAACTTTTATTATAGCATTAGCTTGCATAGCATGGGTCATAATATTATGAATTGCTTTTTCAAGTCTAACATTGCCACATTGTTGTATGTACAATTTTAAAAAGTCATCTACAATTTCATTACTTATTTTTTCTTCTTTGAAACAAAATTCAAGTAATTGATCACAAGCATTACTGAAATCCGAGCACTGGTATACTTTGGTTTTTTTCTTCTGCAACATCCAATTTTTCAAATGACTTTCAAACTCCTTATCTTTCTTTGAATCATGGATTTTTTTCATTACATTCTCTATAAAAACACAAGCTTCAAAAGATTTTTTCAATGAACTATCATCGACTATCTTGAAAACCTCTGGATTCTCGATTATTTCACAGTAAAAATCTATGACTTTTATCACATCGTTGAATGTTTGATCCATTTCAATTAATTAATCAAATAACAAATGAATCAAAGAAAACTAAACTTGCATGTCTTGACAATGAATATTCCAGGTAAAAAGCAAAATCAAATGTAACCTACACTTTGAATGGTAATTTCGGATCCGACGTTAGCGTAATTTTAAATGTAACTTTAGATCTGAAAAAAGCACGATGAAATTAGTAACCACTTTTTATACATTGATGAATTTTAAAAACAGAAATTTGCACACATGTAAACTACGATTAAATTTGATCGTTCTAAAGTAATGAACATTTGAGAGAAAATTTAAGTTTACAATTTTTATTGATGCTCATGATTTAAAACAAAGTAAAAAAGTTTATAAACATATGTTTGACCTCGCGCATCAAGTAAAAACTTTGGAGCAGTGAGATATTTTAACAGATGAATCGATGAATTAAAAAAAAATTACTTACGCTGCCATTGTGATGGTTGCAGGTGCAATGAGATATGGAAAAATTCGCAACACAGGTGGTTTTTAACTAATGTATGATACTTGATAACCTGAATCACTCATATGATGTTCTCCGCTTGTTTACAGCAGATCGTATGCAGTCACAGACACATTTCAGGCCCGTTCACGTTAACGCTCGTGCGGCTACTTCGCGCACTATTTTGACGCTCTCTGCTTCAATGAAAATTTGAGCCAAAACTGAATGAGACACGTCACATAGATTCAACTTTATTGCACGTAAATGCAGGTCCTAATTGTTTCAATGATTTAAATAATAAAAATGAGGTAACGGAACCGGACCAATCCATTTGAGTACTTATGAAGAATAGATAATTGCGAAATAATTTCAGTTTACGGATAATGAACTTTTTTAGCAAATGAAAATCAAGAGCGATATTTGACTTAAGAGGATAACGTTCATCTGTATTGATTTTTAAAATTGATTAAAAGTTGCAACATTATGCAATTTACATATCCCAAAAACATGGTATCAATGTTCAGCTAAGTTATTCATCAATCCAAACTAAAATACAACAAATAGTTGAAATCGTCAGCCTACAGTCAATGTACGCTCGTAAATTTCAAATGATTATCAAAAAATTAAATTAGTAGGTGCGCTCTTCATCTCCTTGATAATCGTGTTGGCTCGCGACGCACGTGCATTGCCCACGAGAGCTCGTGCAGTCGTGCTGCAGTCACCTACGGTGCGCCGCCGTCGAAAAGAATCGAGCTCGCCTGTACACAGGCAGTACAATAAGTAATCTAGCCGTACAAAATCAGTCTGTGGCGTATCGATCAACATGGCGACCGGCAAAAGTCTGACTGCGTTCTTGGGTACGCGAAATATCGGCCTTTTCGCGATACCAAAACAATTCAACACCACGACAGTGAACACAGGAAGAGGAAAAGACTCGACTCGACACTTTTCCACACCTGCGACGGGTGTCGTCGTCTCTTGGTCACGTATCAGGACTCCTAAATGTGAGTGTTGTTTCCCATGCTATAGCATGTTACATCATTGAGGTTGCTTTGCGGCCCATGAATACTTGGACATCTAAATTGTTGCTCCATTTACGTTGGACGACAATGAATCCTAAAATATTGAACAGTTTAAATTGTATGATATTGCCGTGGTTGTCTATCGTATAAAAGATAAGGCACGATAAAGTGACATAACCTTTGATTGACAATATTAGCAAAAGGCAAAGGTGTACATGTGGTTTTTTAAAATTCAAGTGCATGACATTGATAAAAATTTTAAAATTCATCTAAAATAAACAAAGATCATTGATTATAAAAAATATTTATATCAATGATGCATCAAACTAGTAATTTCGAAGTTATGATCAATCGTTTATTTACGTCGCAGTCAACTATAGAATTTACTCGAAATTTCTTGCTATCAATTTGATATTACATTTTATGAATTTTCTAATTTAAATATAATTTTGTCATTTAATCAACTTTTTTCAATGAAACTTATAAATTACAGACTCAGTGCCATCTTCTGCCCCAAGTCACAGAAAATTTCACCTGTCGAGTAGTTCATTTTCTGCAAAAAGAAACTACTATGAAGTTTTAGGAATATCTAGAAATTCGTCAGTAAAAGATATCAAAAAAGCATATTATCAACTAGCGAAAAAGTACCATCCTGACACAAACAAAGATGATCCAAATGCAGGAAAAAAGTTCCAAGAAGTTTCTGAAGCTTATGAAGTACTCAGTGACGAAACAAAAAGAAAAGAATATGACACATGGGGTTCAACCTCAGAACAAATGGGAATGGGAGGTGGTAATCCTGGAGGCAGAAGTACCGATAGGGATAGAGATTTCAACTGGCAATTCAAGTCGACTATAAATCCTGAAGATTTGTTCAGGAAAATATTTGGAGATGCTGGTTTCAGGAGTGGAGGTTTTGGAGATTTTGATGATTTTGCAGAATCTAAATATGGATTTGGTGCTGCACAAGAGGTAATGCATACATATATTAATCATAGACATTTCTATTTATCTATCTGTTAATTCTAAAATATTGAAATGTTTTTTATCAGGTTATCATGAACCTCACATTTTCACAAGCAGCTCGAGGAGTTAATAAAGATATCAATCTCAATGTAGTTGACACTTGCCCCAAATGTAAAGGTAGCAGATCAGAATTAGGCTACAAAGCAACCAAATGTCATCATTGTAATGGAACTGGAATGGAGACTATTAGTACTGGACCATTTGTCATGCGTTCTACGTGTAGACAGTGCCATGGTACAAGAGTGTACATAAAATATCCCTGCCTTGAGTGTGAAGGAAAAGGCCAATCTGTAAGTTTTGTAATCAAATTTTTGAAAACTAAAACAATTTATAAACTCACTAATTATTCAATTGCTATTATCAAACATAGGTACAACGTAAACAAGTCACAGTGCCTGTACCTGCTGGTGTAGAAGATGGGCAGACTGTAAGAATGGCTGTAGGCAGTAAAGAAGTTTTCATAACATTCCGCGTAGAGAAGTCGAAGTACTTCCGTCGCGATGGACCTGATATTCACACAGATAATGAAATAAGCATAGCTCAAGCTTGTCTTGGTGGTGCTTTACGTATTGAAGGAGTTTATGAAACTTTAAATGTACAAATAAGGCCAGGCACTTCCTCACACACATTAATAAGATTGAATAGTAAAGGCTTGAAAAAAGTTAATACTGTTGGGTATGGTGATCATTATGTACATATTAAAATCAAAGCACCACTCTCACTGAATCAAAAACAACGTGCCCTTTTGCAAGCTTATGCTGAATTAGAAGACGATACTCCAGGATCGATAAACGGCGTTACGACAAAAAAGGACGGTAAGGAAAGATCAGGAAATGGTTGATGTATTGCATATGAATAGTCACTATAGCTTTAAAATGAATTCAATTAATCAGTTGTTAAAGTTTATATTTCTATGTTAATATACTTTTATTAAGCTTTTTCAAATATTTTGAATAGAATTTATCTGTAGATGTAAAATCTTGTCAAGTTCAAATTTTAATGTTTATTCATGATAAGAAAATATGAATGTCACTGATAATAATTAAGTATCGCTTGAGTTATCCCCGCGTGTTCTGTTGTGATATTAAGTTATATTTTCGTTATTGTAAGCTTTGTAAATAAAGCTTTTACAAAATATGTACATCACATTCATTTTTTAGCTTTAAATGGAGAATTTTTCTAGTTCAAAATTAGTTTTTTTACTCACATAATCACAATTTATTAATGTTAAACTGAATCGTAAGTAAAGTGTTGAACTTCTTGTCAAGATTCAAGAGCTCGTGTTTCATTTGATCATTTTTAAGCAAGCAAATATATTTCTACCAGGTAGGTATATATATTGCGCTAGTTTTCAAAATTATGAACTGTAAAATGTTTGCATGAATTTACTCCGTATAAAATTGTGCCTAGAAAAATTCTCCTCTCATTTTCGTTAATGATTCGAGTTTCATTTGAATGAATAATGCCTAACTCGTAGATACGATTGGTTTTTCTAGGCACGTCGGAGGAAACTCAAGCGAAAGAAACGACCCAAGGCGAAGGTATTTTGAGTAGGGTGAAGAAAGCCATTTTTGGCTAGATAATAGTAATTTTCGTTTGGTGAGTTGAGATAATTTATTGAGAATTGACTACTTGATTGTTGATTTGAGTAACCCGTGATTGCTGATGAATAACTAAAAATTACAGTCGAAATGATAAAAACGACACGAGTTACTATTGTTACTAATAATCTTACTTTTGTATGTTGAATTGAATTTTATTGTCATATCTTAAACAATCATTCTATTTTTCAGGCACGAAGCATTGTTACGAACCTCCATTCGACTTGCTACAATCGATACGAGAAGCTCTGAACGAAAAAGAACAATCATTGATTAAAGAATCAACTGAATCCAAAGAAACCGAGGATCCTTCTGATAAACCAACTGAGCCGAATAATTCGGACGATGAAGTGGAACAGCATAAAAAATCAATGCCATAAAACCAATGATTTTTTCCAAAGAAGCGTTCCAAATAGGTACTTTAACGCGGAATGTTTTTGAAAATTATGCAAATCAAAAAAAAAAAAGAAACAAATATAAAAAGTAAAATCACGATTGTTAAATAGATTTTGTATTTTATAGAGTGCAACATATGGTTGACAATTATGTTTAGAAATGAATTTTAATCGGTGAATGTTTTGTAAGCAAGCGAAGAAAGTGATGTAAAAATAAAATAGGAATGCTTAATTACGAAATCTTGTATCATATCTTCAGAGAGATAGATACTTGAATGTTATGTTTGTAATTTTATCAATGCTATTAAGTTAGCGCTATAAAATGATTACTTACCAAAATAAAAAAAAACAATTACAATTGGGCGTTTGATTTTTCAAATTATTTTATTCATGTTGCCTCAAACGATGTCCAAATTCAAATGTGAAATACATTTTCAGCATTTTTTTTCAATAAAAATTAAAAACGTAATGATATTTCAAACATGTACTTAAAAAATTTAGTTATAATTAGAACATTCCAACGATCAGTTACATAAACTTTGCTTTCGTTAATCGTACAAAATAATTAATTGTAATATCGAATTAGAACATTTAAATTGTCAAACTCGTACAAGTAATTTGCTTAAAATATAAGTTATTTACAATTTATTTACAAGCGGTATTGGTCGTTGACAATTTTACTAAATGCAATCCTTAAGAAACTGTTCATCAGCGATACTTAATATAGGATGATTTGTGGTGCATATAACGTGCTTATTGATTTTTCACCTTTGTACTCTTTTGGTGAATGTATACAAAGTTGTAAAAAATGTACAAAGATTTTAAATTTCAGATGACCACCTGATTTAACATTACCGAAACGAGTATTTGATATTGTAAGTTAAAATTGAGATATTTGAGCGTTAATGATCTAAATTTACAATTTCAGGTAATCTCAAGCACGAGTTTAATTGTATTTGTAATTTTATTCTCATATTAATAACTGAATCTTTACCTCAAAAATGTACTATTACACAAGCACTCGGCACGTTCACAATCAAACTTGCATTATAATCTCTAATTTTTCTTCACGAAAAAGTAAGCACGCATTACCGATGAGTATTAGCGCTCGCAAAAGAAAGAAAAAACGTTGATACGACATGCAGCTGGAGCTGAAAAATGAGGTAATTCAAACCGGCACGAGCAGGCCGAATTTGAGGCCGACGTTGGTCAGGCTCTGGGTCGCGGCGACCTTGAGTATGGCCACCGCGATCGCGGCCAAAGTGACGGCGCCCTCGAGGTACAGGGCGTAGAGTATGCGCACGTGGCCGGGGATCGTCGAGAGTCCGCCGGCCGCCGTGAAGTCCAGCGGGAACATGAGGCTGTCGACGAAGGGCCGGTGTCTCGAGGCGCCGAAGCACAGAATGCCTATCACGTAGTAAATCGCTGAAACGAGCGCAACAGGTAGGCATGTCAAAAGAGAGCTCGGTTGTTTCATTACAACTTTTTAAATATATAAATATATTTCATAGAGACCTAGAACGACGAAGGGAGCGACTTTTAGCCAGAGCGGCATGGGCATGTGGTCGATGCGCTCGAGGTCGCGCTCCAGCTCCGGATACTTCTTGCGGATGCTGTACCTCTTGAGATTGACGGCGAGCATGAGGCCGAGGTTGAGCACGAGCAGAAAGTGCGCGGGTATGCCGATGGCGGCGAATATCACGGCCACGGTGCGGCCCGCGTCCGTGCGCGGCACCGGCGCTCCGAAACCTGTTGCGCGCGACGATCGATTTTCGGTTAAAAAAAGACTGGCTATCGACATACGACGTTGTTACGTACCCAAGGTCGTGATGACGGAAACGGCGAAGAGCACGCAGCCGGAAAAGGTCCAGAGCTGTCCGTCGTTGCCGCCCTCGCCGTAGCCCGAGTTCACGGCCATGAGGAGCATGCGCTCGTGCTTCACCAGGTACTGCTTGATCTTGTTGGCGTAGATCGGCTCCTCTTGGCGCAGCAGTCGCAGCTCCGTGGCCAAACTCACGGCCAGGTCGCGCTGGGCGTCCTTGAGACCGACGACCTGGGCCCGTTCGCGCGGACCCTCGGTTATGTAGAAGGCGCCGGCGCCCAGTACCGTCCACAGCGACAACAGCCACGCCAGACCTACATGTGCAGCGATATAAGGCCAAAATTGTCATTTACTTTGCGAATAAAGTAGCGTGAAAAATTCACGAGCTCGCGAACGATGAAAAATTAAACGGCATACGTACCGAATTGGCAGAGCGCGACTCTACCCAAAAATCGAAAGTAACGCCCTAGCCTGGAGGCTTTTCTCTTGACCGCTGGCGGCTGCTCCTGTGCCGGGCCACACCCGGAGGAGCCGAGATCTCGTCCGGCTGCGCTCGCCGTCGCTTTGATCGTCGTTTCCTCGTCCACGATATCGCGCAGAGTCGGCAGTACCCTCAGCCGATAGAGCACTCGATCGGAGGTCTGACTGGCTGCGGACTTGTAGGTCGCGCACGAGACGCGATGCTGCAGCTGCAGCAGGGACGAGCTCCCACCGACGCCGCCGCCGCCACATTCGATCGATCGGGCGATCAGAGCGTCGTCCTGGACGTGGAGCAGCGACGTGGCCTGGAGTTCGCCACCGCCGCCGAGCTGCGAGGAGTAATGGTGATTGATCGCCGCCGCCGACAGTAGGCCATCCTGCTTGACTATGGCGGTCAGCGTGGGCGTCACGACGTCGCTCGTGCATTGAGTCTCGTCCGCGGCTACACCGATACATAACATTTGTAATAATATCGATGTATGTATACGTGCGACACATTTTTTTTCGTCGAGTCACACACTAATCGGCTAATCATATGCAGAAAATATTTGTATAATAAAAACGCTCGCGAAGGGGACTGCAATATTAATCAACAATCGGATCGAAGCACGTGTGTGTGCACGCCACACCTGAGAATCTGCGCGCGTGCAACACGCGGGGGATTTATGTTTTATCGATCAGCTGCAGCTCTCTTTGCGGAGCTCCCTCGAGTGCAGAAATGCTCAAGAATTCATGGCAACTTGCGATGGTAATTGTCGCGCGTTAAATCAATCCTTTCTCTATCGATTTCGTTCGCCTCTCCATGTTTCATAACGCGTACAATATTCGCTCGAGCTTCTCTTAATTCGAAACGCTATCCTATAATTTCGCGATCGATCGGCGAACGAGCTATCCAGCCTGTCGTGTCCGATGGACGAAAAATGACGCGAATCGATTACAAAGTTGGCGGGCAAAAAAAAAAAAAAAAATAATAAAGGACGCAGATCGTGCGCAAGTGGGTTTTAATTACGTACAGTAAGACGAAGATCTTCGTGAAAACTTTTTCAACATGTTCGATCGGGTGGGGGCCGATCCGTCGAACTTCTACGAGCAAGTTTTAACGATAGCAGCTCGAAGCTGCTGTTGCTCTGGAAGCATCGGTGTGCTCGTCATCCTTGATGAACAAACGTATCGGCGCGCGGAGTTCTCGTCTCGCAAGCTCGCTCACGCAAGCTCCGCAAGCTGCCGATGATTATTTTTCCATTTACTTTCGTTCCCTCTCTCACTCGTACGTATGATAAAAATCAAAGTTTCTGAAAAGCACGTGGCTGCTGCTGTCCATCTAGCTGGAAGTCGCGACGTTTGCACTCGGCACTCGAGCTAATAAGCGATCGTTAAGTTGTATAGATTTCGACGTATGTCGCGTCGAGTGCAGTGATTATATCGTCCTCGAGTCGGTATACGTACGAACTGCGGCGCGTGTAAAGCACAGCGAGACACACACACACACACACACGCGCACGCACTACGCGTTGTTGACACTCGACGAGCTGCGCGATTGTAAACAGTCGTCGCGATCTATATAGATGCACACACGGGGCAGAGCGCGCGATACGGAATAAAGACGCGCCGAGACGCCGCCGGAACAGATAAAACTGAAAGCGTTCGCCTTGCTTGCATATACACCGCCGGCTGTACACGTTTATATATGTTTGTATATCTTTTCCTCGCCCCCTACCACTAGTACTATCCGGCCAACTTGCCTACTCGGGCGTATGCCTCGTGCAAATTGCTCCTATCCTATATCTATACAGCATGTGTATCGTAGGGCTGCTATAATTTAACGTCGTACCCACGATGGTCGCGGCGGCGGCCGCGTGCGCGCCGCCTTTTATAATAAAATATCATGGCAAGGTCGTATCGATGCGAAAGATCGATTGAGCCTCCACCACCCTTACCACCACCGCTACAACCACCTGCACCACCTCCTCCGTTGGCGAAAATGTTATAGGCCAGGTAAGCTCNGGGGGGGGCGATTATACATATTCCATGTGTGTCACTACCCTCGTGGCCGTAGCGCGCTCTCATGGGCGGACGGGTACACATACACCCAAGAAAGTCCGCGACGACTTAAGCTTTTCATTATTGACGATGGCGCGACTTGAACCGATAGGCGTGATACGCGACTACGTGCCACAGACTACTCGACGACTTTGCGACTCGCCTCGAGCAAATATCGCAGAGATAATTTTCTATATTTTTTGCCCTACTATATCTGTTCGAATTTCTCCTATTGTTTGCCATACGCGCGTGAGGTAATCAACGGAATAATCAAGCAAAATTATCTTTCAAACGAATTTACACGTGTTCCTATATTGATGTATCATAGATACGTGTCATTAGTTAACCGAGCGAAGGGTCGCTTCCTTATCAATTTATCGCATTTCCCCCTTAATTCTCGATCGATATCGCGCGATAGGCCAATTGCTGATGCACAATACATCCATCGCGTGACACTTCCTATCCATCCGCTTCTGCACAGTAGTATTCCTCAATAGTTATGTATGATTGTCCGATTGCGTATCGTAATTAAAGAGGATATCGCGTCGAGGATTTACGTTCGGCACGCCAAGTCGACTTCATTTAAGATATATCGCAATACAGTTTAAGAAAATGAACGATTTTGTTCGGAAAACCAAGTAAACGAGCGATTCGTACAGTGGGGAATTGCACAATTATTGATGAGGGATAATTTATGCATTGAAACATAATATACAAATGTACGCGAGAGGGTAGTCCTCGTTTTTCCGAGCTAACATTGTATTTAAATGTGTAATGCACGCAATATTGTATAGATTTTAAAGCAACAGGTGCGTCTTCCGCGAGACGCGTGCACCGATTGCCACGATGATCATTCTATATTATGTCTACAACGATGATACGATATTTACTGAGAGAGAAATGCCGATTTACCTTTTAAATCGCTGCTATAAACTAGGTCCGTGCGTTGGATTCCACGATAATCGTCGTTCTCCACTTGAAAAGTTATTTTTTCACTGCAAAGAAAATAATTATTTATATTTTTACACTCTTTTATCGGTGGCTGACTGAGATTGTGTATTTAACATATAAAAATAACTCGAAACGTTATTACGTAAAACGAAGAGAAAAAAAGTGAAAGAAAATTAGTTAGTAAACTGAACCACTCACTGTATTTCTTTCGGATTCCCATTGGGATCGTCATCGTCGTCGGTAGTGGCTTTCGCTTGGCGAAGCTTCCACTCGACCTGCGGCCTACTGACGCGTCTCCAAAAAATCGGCTGCACTCGAACGTTGCCGCCTCTGCGTTGCCATTTGCTCGACGCGGCATTATTATTGACGTTGTTATTGGCATTGTTGCTGCTGCTGTAGTCGTTGCCGTCGTTGTTGTTGTTGCTCCGGCGCTGCATGAGCCAGCTGGTGGTGCGCGGCCGATTCGGCATCTTATCGACGCCCCGATGCCGATGATGCCGATGATGCCGTTGTTGCCGTCGACTGCCTGGGCCGCGATGTCTGTTGCACTGCTCGGAATCGATCGTCGCCGAATCGTTGTTATTGCCGCTATTGTTGTTTTTATTGATGTTTATCGAGGGAGGTAGAATCAAGGCTGGCGGTACGGGAAAGGCCGGCAGATCCGGTACTTCCATGGATCTGTAGAGGACTCTTGTCGCCGCCGCCAGCACCGCTGTCGACGTCTCGGATCGACGTCTCTCATCGTCCTCCCGATCGTTGTCGTTTTCGTCGGCGTCGTCGTCGGCGTCGTCGTCGCCGCAGTCCTCGTCGTATCTGTGCGTATAGTCGATAAATAATAAGCGCAAATATAATAATATAAATACTCGATGATTATTTTATATGCGCGTGCGGATGCGGCCCTATTGTACAACGCTCGGCCATATCTCTATATGTATCGAGTGTGTTTTGGCTTGAAAATTTAATGCTCGCCGTCGATTAAGATCATAAGATAATTGCCGTCGAGTGTTTGTGCACAGCGCCTTGTGATGTATAATTTCAAATTTACGTATTACGTTCGATTTGTATCATTGCATAACGATCAATTTATGTACTCGCACGTACGCGCGGCCCATTGTTCGAGCTCGTGAACTTGTGTTACACCTCGACTCGGGTGATTTATGCAAAACCTTATTTCCTGCCACGCGTTTAACGGAGCGGAATCATCAAGGCGTTTCGTTCGAGCGCAACTTCCGGAAAATTTCGATATCATTTTAAGTGAGAGAGCTCGCAACAAATCCAATCCAGAATCCGTTTATTTATTTGCTATATATCTGCTGCACATGATGCACGTATCGTGCGGCGTGGCTTTGCTCGAGTCGCTCTATCAATTATAGATACACGCGGAAACTAATGTCAATGCCGAGCTGGCGCGCGCGCACGCCTCGACCGCCACCGCCGCCTCGTGACTTTTCCCGCATTGTTTCGCTCGAAACAAAAGTCTCTATATTATTCTTCGCAAATTTTCCGCATTATTCTTTTCCGTGTTATATTCTATTCTCTTATATGTGTACACGTGTCAAGAGATCACCTGTTATGCATCTTCGCTCGGCTGCCACGAGAACATGTGCGATCTATCCAAGCCGCCGCCGCCGCCGCCGAGCCAGAAATTCTCGTTATCTAGAGCGAGGATTAATTTATTGGGCCGAGCTCGTTTCACGCTGAATTATAGTTTCGCTAAACTTCTGACTCTTCCGACGTTGAGTTTCGGAGCAGTAACAACACGAAACGCGCGTCGATGATCCATCAACTGATTCGAATCATTTTATTCATTAATTTTTCTTCTTCACTATTGTACTAATTTATTTAGCCACTCGCGAGAAATCGATGATAGATTTTTACGCCTTAATTACGGTAACGCAAAAGTTTAATAAAATCGAAAACGTGCAGAGCTTTGGAGCTCGCGCGAGTTTATTATAGCGTACGGCCATCCGTTGCACTGGCTTGTTCAAAACTGCAGAGCTTCAACGTGCTATACGTGTGTATAAGACGCTGTGCGCGCGCGAGAACGGCTATCTTAACCAGCACCGATATGTGCTCTATATATATATGTGTGTGTGTGTGTGTATTCGTGTGTCTGCTTGTGCAAAGGTATGTGTATATATCTATCGCTGGCGATGTATATAGGTGTCTGATTCGCGGCCGGCACAGCCGCGTATTTTCGTACACGTTAGCCACCGCCGCCGACGCTTATACTATCACTACTACTACTACTTTTACCGCTACTTGCCTAAGCCCTACTATAATTGGCCTTTTGCATCGGCGTTGGCGCTCGTGCCACGAAAAATCCCTGCAACGAACACCTGTAATTTTTGGGATAATGGAAAAAATAATCAGATTTCTTCGATCGCGCGCGCATAACAAAGGAAAGGTAAGGAAAAAAAAATATCGAGTACAAGACTCGACGCGAGTTGCGCGATTATTTTTAGACTCGAGTTGCAAACCTCGAAATTCGCGCGTTCAATCGTCGACGTAAACTTTACACCGTTTCAAGATGCAGCGCTTGTTTGGACTAACGATTTATGTATTTTTTTAGAATGAGCGTTACTAATAGGTTTTAGTTCCCTAAGCTTCGAGTCGCACCTATATGCTTGAATAGACAACGATTACCTTGACATTTACTCGTATACGCGCGTCTACCGTTTAAAATTATAAATTCAGTCTATAGCTTGTTTGTTGATTTTCAACAAATAATATTAATTATGAATTAACTGTAGACGCAACGAGTCGTTTGAAAAAATTATTAAATGTTTTGCCAGATTTTCCGGGTACCCGTTACAATGAGACTTTTCTTACAAAAAGTCGGGTCGGAATTTGGAGAAAAAAATGTGTACCCGAGCGTAAGGATGATACTCGAGCTACAACAATGCGACATACTTGACACACTTGCGCTATTTGCATTGTTGTTGCATATGCACATATTATTTGTGCACGGTGATATGCAAAGTAAGCTTGCACTGCGCCCCGTATATGTACACATATTTGTGTTTGAATAAAAGTCGAGGCAAAAGAAGAAGGAAAAAAAAAACTTTTTCAGACTCGGAAGTGAACTACTTGCATGAATAAAGAGACGTGCATAACGGACGTACGTACATATGCACTTCGTGCTCGCGAGCCGTGTATGTGTGTGTGTGTATATTTCATATTTTTTTACTTACATAAGGCTGCCTATAAGACCGAGATTGTCCGGCGAGGGAAAAAAACAGTGGAAAAAGGACGAATGAAATCGATTTAATCTATGCTTGTATTTATTTTGAACATTACGAAGCTATAGAAGTTTATGCGATTGATTTGAAAAGTACATAATTTCGATTGCCAGTGACTATCAAAATATAATTAAATCAGATTCGACGTCGAAGTAAAATTGAAAAAATTTCATTTATGTGTGTCACTTAATTCAAATTTAAAAGGATGTAATAAAATGCCGTTTTTTGCACTGTTAATTAATTTATAATAATATGGTGTACGCGATGTTTTACTACGTCATGCAAGCTTACGGACAATAAGTATATACATTTTTTTTTTTTACTATAACAATGGGAAAGGCAAAAATATAAAAAGCATACTGCGGCTGTTACATAACAAGGAGTTAATTGGATTTTATCTCAATAAAGTTTAAAGCCGGCATTATGTAATCATGGAATGGGCGATGCTCATATTTCACTTTAACACACGCGTCTATGTCATAATAAACGCGTGAAGCTGTCAGTTAGTTCGTCTCTTTTTTTGTCTCTTTGATTCTAAAACATGATGATTTTATCAAAATATTTTTATAAAACAAAAAGGGTAAAAAAGAATGAAAAAGTCTGCCAAAATTTACACTGTCAGCTGCACTGTTAGGTGAGATCGTAGCGTGCATTACTTGTCGAATTTAATATGTAGTTTCGCGCTAATGCTCAGGTCTCATTTGTGCACGTTCCTATAATTAGTTTTTTATACGTTGGTATTTATTCATAGCTTCTACATTTACACCCAATTTTACTATGATCAATCGGCTTAAATTCGTAGTACAAATGTTCATTAAATATATAATATTTATCAACAGCTATTATGATCGGTGTAAGGTTCTGGAGCCCGCAATCATGTCATGGCATGGGGGCGGCAAATTTGCGAATGAATATCACAATTTTTTTGAATACATGAGTCAAAGGATCTATTTACTCGATGTTTTTTGTGCAAACTCGATGAGGTCTGTCGGCAGTTTGTTTGGAAGTATTTAGTTTTAGAAGGCCAAAAATTTCCTCGAAGAAATCGTCACCAAGTTAGAATTTTTACTTAGATCAAGTGTTGTAAGATTAATGTATTAACAGATTAATCGGTACCCTAATTGTCAACAATATGATCATAAACGATTTTGACATAAATCCTGGACACAATTTATCATGTTTATAGTCAAAATAAATTAGTTTGAATGTTGTCTTTACCGACGAAACAAGCCATAACACCAAAAGATAACTCATTTAATTTTCCTTGCAGTCAATACATTGATTCATCGTTCAATTTAGTCATCGAAATGGATAAAAGTGAGAAAAAATTGGAGGAAGTTGTCTCGGAAAATAATTCAAGTAAACAAGACATTGTTATTAAAGACGACAAACAATACGATTGTGATATTTGTCAGGAGAAATTTACACTAGAAACAAGCTTGATTAACCACCGGGACAAAATTCACCATGAACATAAAGATTACACCTGTGACAATTGCGAAAAGAAATTTGAGTTCCGAAGTCATTTGAGTAGACATCAAATATCGGTACACAAAAACCGCAAAGATTTAGCATGCGACGAGTGCGAAAAGAAATTTGTGAAAATGTCGAGTTTGATTACGCACCAAAAATTAGTTCACAAAAATCGCGAAGATTACTCGTGCAATAAGTGCAAGAAGAAATTTGAGAATAAATCAAATTTACTCAAGCACAGAAAAATATTCCACGAAGTTTTCAAAGATTATTTATGTGAGAAGTGTGCGAAGAGATTTGGTAATAAACCGAGTTTACTCTTGCACATAAAGACAGTCCACGAGGGTCGCCAAAATTTCGCATGCGACAAGTGCGGGGAGGTATTTATGAAAAAATCACATTTGCTCTTCCACCTGAAAACTGTACACGAAGGTCGGAAAAATTTTGCCTTGAAAGTCTTCGAAGATTACTTATGCGACAACTGCGGGAAGGAATTTGGAAAAAAATCAGATTTGTTAAAGCACCAAAGGACAGTCCACGAGGGTTGCAGAAATTTTGCATGTGACAAATGCGATAAAAAATTTGGAAAAAAATCAGACTTGTTGAAGCACCAAAGGGCATTGCACGAAGGGCGAAAAGATTACGCATGCGATAAGTGCGAGAAAAAAATTGCACGAAAATCAAATTTGATAAAACACCTACAGACAGTCCATGAAGGTCACAAAAATTACGAATGCGACAAATGCGAGAAGAAATTTACACAAAAATCGTATTTACTTATTCACCAAAAGACAGTCCATGACGGTCACGAAGATTATGCATGCGACAAATACGAGAAGAAATTCGGACAAAAACAAAATTTGTTCAGACACCAACAAACAGTACACGAAGGTCGCAAAAAATACAAATGTGACAAATGCGAGAAAAAATTTACACAAAAGTCACATTTCCTGTTACATCAAAAAACAGTCCACGAAGGTCGCAAAGATTATGGTTGTGACAAGTGCGAAAGGAAGTTTGGATTTAAATCGGCTTTGCTCTTACACAAAAAAACTGTCCACGAAGGTCGCAAAGATTACGCATGCGATAGTTGCGAAAAGAAATTTGGAGAAAAATCGACAATGCTTATCCACCAAAAAACAGTCCATGAAGGTCGTAAAGATTTTGCATGTGATAAGTGTGATAAAAATTTTTCACAAAAACCAAATTTGCTTCGCCACCAAAATTTAGTCCATGAAGGTCGCAAAGATTATGCATGCAATAAATGCGAGAAAAAATTCGGACATAAAAGTACTTTGTTCAACCACCAATTAACAATCCACGAGGGCAGCAAAAATTTCGCATGCGACAATTGTGAGAAAAAATTTGGACGAAAATCAGATTTGTTGAAACACCGAAAGACAGTCCATGAAGGTCATAAAGATTTTACATGCGACAGATGCGAAAAGTTTGGATGTAAATCAAATTTAATTAGACACCAAACTACAGTACATGAAGTTCGCAAAAATTAATCTTGCGACCAGTACGAGAAAAAATTTAAACAAAAATCGGATTTTTTAAAGCACGAATGGAACGAAAAGATTGCAAAGATTATACATGCCAAAATTAATGGTCAAGGAATGTCGATTCTCAGTTGTAAAGATATATAATACGTTTTTTTTAAATTTTAATAAAAATTGTGCTGAAGTGATTTTGTACTACCTGAATCTTAGACGTTCAATTATATAATTTCACCTTTGTACACTGATCTCTTGATGATAACCCTGAATTGATCAAACATACACTAGTGAAAAATTTTTCGATGAACTTGCTGGCATATTGATTGTTTCAGCTTAGAGAGACGTAATCGGTAATAAAATAACAATGTGTTCTATAGAAAAAACCAAACTGCAAACTATTTTATAATTTAATATAAACCACAAATTGTTTTCTAAAGTTTTTCAAAATTAGTAAAAGTGGTCATAATTGTCTTCAAAATGCATGAAAGTTAGCGTGGGACGGCACCTTTTCTTATCCCCAACTGATTATGATATGCATTGGGCCGATTGAGAGCTGTGAGGATTCTTTGTTTTGAAATGTTTGAAAATACAATACCGTAAAATTTATAAAAATAAAGGTTCACAATTGTAGATTTGATCAGTTCATATTCTTTTAGTTACAGTTTATAGTGAATACAAAAATTAACATTGAAAAGGGAAATTTTGCAATATTTTAAATGATATACTGTATTTTAAACATATTTGATATGCTACATTATTTTGTTCATTTTTTTCAATTTATAATTTTAAAAATATCGACCTGGACTCATGATCGATCACGTCGTCCCTATTTAATTTACATCAGGTAAAACTTGCATAGTTGATGAATTTTTCAAATGATAGATTCATTGTACTGCATCCATTAGCACGAATATATCTCAAGATATATAAACTTAAAAATTATTTTTTACTCCATTTGTATATGAGCTGTATCGCGTCAACTGCCCCCCCCCTCTTTTTGTTTTGATTTTTGATATTTTATTCTGCTTCCCAAAGGTGAATATGAAAAAATTATTGAAACATGATTTTTTTTGTAAAATTTGACGAGGAATTCAAATTTGATGTCAGAATTCAACCTCAGCGGCAAAAATAAACATGTATCCAGCGATATGGCCAATATTGTAATATGTTCATAGATACACTAAAATATAACTTCTGATAAATTTTGGTAGTCGGCAGACAAACAGACTTCATTATTGACCTTCATATGTGTCAATAAAACATGATTTTTCTCTAGATATCCTCTATTCTTGACTCATATCATGTTCAATAATGAAGTCTGTTTGTCTGCCGACTACCAAAATTTATCAGAAGTTGTATTTTAGTGTATCGATGAACATATTACAATATTGACCATATCGCTGAATACGAACATGTTTATTTTTGCCACTGAGGTTGAAATTTAGAAATTAAGGTACTTGGAGTTTATGAATATGAATTTTGACATCAAATTGAATTCCTCATCAAATTTTACAAAAAAATCATGTTTTAATAATTTTTTCATATTCACCTTTATGAAGCAGAATAAAATATGAAAAATCAAAACAAAAAGAGGGGGGGACAGTTGACGCGATATAGCCCGTATACTCCTCGAATCGTAAAAAAAATATATAATAGACATCTTGTAAAGGAAGAATTATTTATAAGTATTTTTCAAGATTGAAATAATTATTTATTACTTTCCAATTTATAAGTAACTAATTTTTTCTGTCAGAGAAAACTAATTTTTAAAGGAATATGTATTAATTTTTTTTATTGAATTAAAAAGTGCGTTTTATTAACGCCAATTTTAAGGTCTCAAAGTGAATTTCCAAGCTTTTCCTGCGACTATTCAATTTTTTTCCAGTTTTTGAAAATATGCAACAAAATAATCATTAATTAGACAAAATTATAAATGTTCAATATTCTGTATTGGCTGAAAATTTGTATCTATAGATAAGCAGTCTTTATGTATACAGCAAAAAAGCTTTGGGAAAACTTACCAGAACTTTCAGAAAAAGTTTCAAAATATTTCAAGAAGCTGAAAATCTCCGTACTCAAATGACTTCAGAAAAATTTTCTAAAAGATTTCCAAAAAGTTGCATGCAAACTTATGAAAAGCTTTCGTGAAAACATATTGAAGGCTTTTGGAATGTTTTCAGGAGACTTTCGAAGATATTTAAAATATTTCTCGGTGAGCATACAGAAAATTTTTCGATTTTTTATGAATTATTTCGAATTATTCTGAAAACCCCATTGTATATCAAAAATTTTATAATAAAATAATCTTATCCACTTGGGAATTTTCATAACGATATATTATGTAACTTAAAACTCAATCGTGAAACTCTAGTAAGCTTTTTAAAAGTTTTGTCTTTCCTGTCAATTTCAGAAAAAGTTATCGCAAGATTTTAATGATTCTTTCAAAATGTTTTCAAGTAAAGTTCCTTAAAAGTTACAAGGTATCTTTTAGACAGCTAAATTAAACTTTCAAAACGTAAAATATGAATTTTTTCTTGCCACCTCTCTGGAAACTTTCAGGAAGCTTTCTTATAAGCTTACACAGAAAGCTTTCACGTAGTGCGGATACAAATTGTGATAACAGTCACTGCACATATTATATAAAATAACTATATAACATAACTACATTGAGCAAAAATCAAATCGTTTAATTAGATTGGTAACTGAATAGAAGCTAACGATTTTTCTTTTCTTTTTTCGTGAAATTAAATTAAAAAATGTTTTATCGTAACAACAAAACTGTAGAAAAAATTCGCTTGATTTAAGAAGGTTTATTATTTTCATTTAAAAAAAAATAAGAGTTTACATAAAAATAATTTTTATTTTGAGAAACGGTAAACCATCGTGTAAGTCGTGAGAAAAATGAGGACACAAGATTCATGACACGTAATCAATTTATTTTTTGTCAAGCTTTTTTCGTGCAAACTTTGCGATACGTTATCATCGCCTCTCGTAATGTAGAACTCAAGATAGTTTTGGTATCTAAGCGAAAGCAAATTGCATCTTGCAAAAAAAAGGAAGATCGATAGGCCGACGAGGATATATTACCAGCTGCGATCGTGATCAAGATTCATTACTATACGTGCAAAGATTAGGCTTTCTTATTCAAATTAAACCGGTTGTCTGACTAAAATCGAGTATAGTTACTTGTTCCCTATAGCGTAAACAGGTCACCGTATATGAAATACCAGGACAAGAATTTTTTTTAAAATTCATAATACGTATGTGTAATCCTCTTTATTTACGATCCCAGTAAGACATAAAACAAAAAAGAAAGAATAGCTAGGCGCAACGCGGTGTGGTATGCGCGACTAGTAGTAGTAGCGGTAGTATAGCGTAGCCGGAGCTTTTTCTCCGTGTGGTAGCCTCGTGCGTTCCGCAAACGTCAGTTTTAAAAGAAAAAAGGCGGTCACGCTAGGGCTCTCTTCTTTGCGCGCGCTCAAAGGGTCTGGCCATCCATCTCATGCGTATGTATATATGTATAGAGCGGAGGCACACAGCAAGCCGTACTATATAAATGAAGAGCTTGCAGTAAACACATTCAAGCCTTTTCTAGAGCATCGTCGAACGACTCCAAGAGCCCAGAGATGTCGCTGTGCGTGGGCGTTATAAGGCCTCTACGTATACATACGTACGTGCGATGCAGTGTGCAGCTATACGGTATACGCGTGTGTGCATGTGTGCCGCTGCACAGACACGGGGGGCTTCGTAGGGAGAGAGAGCCGCAGAGCAGCAGCAGCAGTGAGATATTATAAGGTAGGCAGCGTCGTAACGCAAGGGTCGGAATTCAGTGCGGCATAGGCGGCCGACCATGGTCGATGCTGCTGCTCGCTACTGTACGCCGGCGTAGTCATCGATGCAGATGGGCGTTCGCCCTGCTGCTCGGCGGCCTCGTGTCCTGCAGCCTGCCAATCTGCCTGCTGCGTTACTTTCTGCTGCTCGGGCCGCAGCAGCAGCTGGCTAGGAATGGAGGCCCCTTCGACGATCTCGACGACGAGGCGGTGGCGGCGGCGGCGATGGCGGCGGAGGATTACTCGCAGCTGCTGGCGAGGATCGCGGCCGATGCCACGGCGCCTCGTGCTGGATCAGCAGCAGCAGCCTCGTCGATCGCGTCGACCAGCAGTGGCGCCAGGCCTGCTGCTGCTGCTCTGCAATACGCCGGCGCGTACATGGCCGAACGTTATCCCGGCAACGTGTCGTACTGCAGGTACTGCTCGACTACTTACTTACATATATTTTACGTTGCGCGCCAACTACTTTGGTAACTATACGTAACGCAATTGTAACGTAACGTGAGCAGTGTGCTCGATGATAATACTCTGACTGAGCAGATGTAACGAAATAAATAATTCCCTCGAGTCGTAGCTGAACTTTCTTCATATTACAGTTGATTAATTTTGCATGAGCTTAAATATTGATAACTTCTAAGAAAACTACTGATGTTTTTATTGAACTTTCTTCAGTAGGCTAGTAGAGTAGTTCACTCAACTTTTTTACCTCTATACAAGCGAACTGCTTTTTATAAAAGATTAATTATTGCAAGTAGATAAATGCAAACATACGAGGAACGATGGATGAATAATCAACTTGATCGAAGTCGTTACTGTGATTTTTTATTCTATGCATTCCAGCTGGCAATACGATCTACCTGAGAATCTGAACTACCAGGAACACCAGCTGTTGGGCAGTCCCGGCGCGACTCGTCCGTCGGCCACCCAGTACAGCGCCAACGGCACCGGACGCCAGTACCTCGTTCTGCCCAACGCCGTCAAGGCGCAAGGCGTCGACGACCTGCCCGAACTCACGCTCTGCAGCCACGCCACCGCCGACCAGGTCTACGACGTGGTTGAGCTCGCCCGACGCTGGGAGGGTCCCATCAGCCTGGCCGTCTTCGTGCCCTCGACCGACGCCGCCCTCGCCGTCGACTTTCTCGAGCGAGCTTGCCGCTGCGAGCCCGCCATGATCAGGGTAGGCACTGTTGATTTTAATCATTGCATACATCACCCTGACACGTCTCGTGCATACAGGTCTCCGTCCATCTCATCTTCCCACGCAACCGTCCAGCCAAATTATCGTCGAGTGCCGTGACCACGCCGTTCAATCAGCTGATCGCCAACGACTCTGCCTCGAACGCCGCCGACCCCACCGAGCAATCCTTGTCCTCGTGCTCGATCGGCGAGATCCAAGCCTCGGCCTCCTCGGCCAACGGTACCGAGCGTCGCAGGTCCGGTCTCGCCTATCCGATCAACGTGGCGCGCAACGTGGCCCGACACTTCGCCCCGACCGAGCGCGTCCTCGTCTCCGACGTGGAGCTCCTGCCGAGTCAGGCCCTGGCGTCGAGGTTTCTGGACATGCTTCGCTACCGAGTGCCTAAGAGGACCGTGGCCTTCGTCTTGCCGGTGTTCGAGGTCGAGCTCGGCGTCCGACCGCCCAAGAACAAGGCCGAGCTGTTGGCTGCTCTGCGCAGCGATGCCGCCGTTTATTTTCACAGGTATGATTTATATATTTTTTTGGAAAACAAGCTGGACTATGTAGTTTGAATTTCATACGCAGGTTTTTATGCCCGCATTGCCAACGATTTCCCGGATTAATGCGATGGATACTGCGGCCGGATCCGGGCAAGGTAAGACCTCTGATTATCACTAAGCGAGAATACCCGCACCATCGCTGGGAGCCAATTTTCATCGGGACGAAGTACGATCCTCTCTATACGGAGGAGATGTCTTGGGAGGGTAGACAGGATAAAATGACCCAGGTTTGCAACAAATTTAAAATACATACCGATCGCTCTGCGATTCATGCCTTGCAATTTCACTTACTCTAGGTTTCCTTCCTCTTTCAGATGTTCGAGATGTGCCTACAAAACTATCGTCTTATTATACTGGACGGTGCGTTTCTAGTCCATCAGCCAGGTATAAAGCGCAAATCTGCCGAGGACGCGACGGCCGGTACTGCCGTCGTCGACGAGCAGCAGCAAGCCTTCCAACGGGAGAATTCCAAGATTTATCAGCGCGTCACTCATCGATTGCTCAAGCGATATCCCGCCGCCAATCGCAGATGCAGGCCTTGAACTTGATACACATTGATATAATACTTATTACTAGAGATTAAAATGGAATATTGTATACGTTTTGTTACGTAAAAAAGCGAATAGTCCTTGAAAATCTCGAGCACCTTTTTCCCCGCTAACGGAAAAATGGGCTTCGGAGATTACCGAAAAAAGTAATAATAATAATAATAATAATTTTAACGCAAGACAATACAGTAAGCGATACACGCAGAACAATAAGTAGGTTTAGTCGCGCACGCGTAAAATTTAATACTATTATTAATTCGATTTTACAGATGTTTTTAATACTGTTGCAGATTTTAGCGTAAGAATGATAGAGCAAATGAGAGCTTTTTTCAAATTGCATACAGATGCAATTTGGTTTTGTTGCTGAATGATACGATTTTATAGAGAATTTTGATCACTCGTGCTTCGCGTTCTATTTATCCAGATGGAAAAGGATGATAATATTTTCCAATTAACAGCAAGTAATTATCGTTACCAATTAGTTTCATGATACACAACGAGTTTATGCTTTAAATGAATCGATTATGTGACTATTAATTTGATGTCCCAATTTCATGTTGACACTGCTAATACGACACTTTGAAAAGTTAAAATTTAATTATCGTTCAAACAAAGATTTATTGACAGAGAATATGTGTGCACCTGACGAAATGACGTTTATGAACACATAATGTGTACATATTTTATCGCCGTATGAATTTAAAAAAAAATCACTGGTCGTTTCGAATCGTTGATGTTTCAAGATTTTAAAAATTGTAGATATTCGTATGAAAATATTACGTTATACAGAACGATGAATAATTTCATCGACCTGCTTCGAATAATATTTTTAAAATAATTTATTTTTTCTCATCAAAACGCGAGTTCCGTATACAGTCAATATTGAATCTTCGATTCTTGATTGACCTCGCGCAATATTTAGATCGTAGTCACACTCGCCTATGCCAGCATTTCATTCAGCTTCAACTTGAATTAAAGCACTTTTGATAAAACACTGCAAAAAGCGCCACTCGCTAAAAATGAAATCGAAAAAAAACAGAATAAATAACGACAAATAGCATGATGGTTCCTTCGATTTATCTTCGTACAGAGAAGCTCAATTATACAGGTCAAAAAAGTGTTTAAATATAATTATATTATATACACTAACGTGCATCACTTATGATGGATTTTTAAACCACGGCGAGTGATAAACGAGACGTTTTTTAGATTATATAGATATACGATTTTAACATATTTCTAGTTATTGTATACAATAACATTTGAACGTGTAGTTTTGACACAAAACGATTTTATAGAAAAGTTTTTTAAAATATATCTTTTTATAGATCGCTTCGATAGCATAAAATGTTTACAATAAACGGCTAAAATTCGCACGCGAATTTTCAGCCACAAAGTTTAGCGACGACAAAAAAATACGAAAAAAAAATTATTACTAACGCATAGACTGAAGTACTAATTACTCATATCAAATATCGATAAATAATGATAATTAATAACCAATTGTAATGAGTATAGGCATAATTGTTTGAGTACAAAAACACTTTTGATTGAACGCATGGGTTTTTCTATTAGCTGCAAAAAAAGTATAACGACGTAGTTTTTAACGAAATAAAATCAAAGCAATATATGAAAAAATGATAAATTATCGCCGATTCACGTATACGCACTTTTACATCGCAACTATAACGTAGGGTAAATAATTATACGAAAATTATTTACAACGAACAACGTAACGCCATGAATTTTCCACTATTGTCAGGAATATATTGGGTGCTGTTAATCGAAGCCTTTATCGGTGAGTAAGATATTATAATGATGCTGATTATGAATATCGTTGTATATTTAATCTTCGTTGTATGAGTCGTCAATGGAAATGAAAAGTTACAGTAAATATGATGTCAGTCAATTTTATAATAGAATGAAATTTTCTTACAAAAATGAAGAAAAATAAACAGCTTTGGCGAATCATATAACAAGCGAATATTTCGATCGACGACCCTGATAAAAATGCTGAACATTCTATGTCTAACTTTTTGGCAAGACAGAACCTGGACAACTAATTGTGGAAAACTGTGCTTTGTTTTATACAATTATTTTCACTTTGCCATTTGCAGATTTACAGATAAAGGTACTCACCATCTAGCGGTAGAAGCTGAAAGTTGTATTATAGCATCTTGTAAAAAAATGGTCAAAAATGTTGGAAACGGTTCAATTGTCATTTTCAAATCAATTAAAATGTGAAAAATTGGCATATAACATGCCAATTGATGGTAATGTATTCGAAAACATTTTAAAGTGACATTTCTGGTCGTTAGATCATCTTTAATGTTGAGCATTTGTACCAGGGTATTTGTAAATGCTACCAAGTAGATGTTTGATCTACGTAGCTCTTAATATTTATTGGTCCAATAAAATTATCTCTTACATATTATTACCTAATACATGTCTCGTATTTTCTTGTCCTATTTGTTTTTTTCAACGTGTCCAAAAAGAGAATTACTCACGGCTACGATTCTTTCGCACTTTGAAAAGCTGCGATCAAAGCGAGCAACTGAAAGCCGATAAGATCAACGAAGAGGATTCTCAATTTTAACTCGCACTCGTGTCCCTCTTTTGTCAACAAGTTAGCGATAAATTTACCGGAGTCACAATTGTCTCTCTGCAGCTCTGCTGTCAGCGCGTCTTGACGCAAACAATTGAAAGAGGAAGATAAGCGATCAGTTGCTCCGACTAAAATACCATCGACACGTGTGAAATTCATGAAAGGGTCAAATTAAACGCCGATAGAACTTTCGTTCCGTGTATCGCTGAAGGTTTCTCGATAATATACGACCTTTGACGTAAGTTGGGCGTGAAGTTATAAATATATGGTCGTCGATCGGAAAACAACGATAACTTCACTTTTTTTTAGAAAAATGCTATCGATGCCGTTTCAATACTACGAAGCCACCCTCTTCTTCGGCAAAAGGAAATGAAAAACGTGTAAACAGATGATAAATGTCAGTCACCGCGTCGAACGTAGAGTCTAGGCGTTTGTTTTTCTCCCGCTTGAAATGCACACCGCGTCAAAAAGCTAATTAGCCTCGCGCATCACGTACCCACTCCGTTTCTCTCGCTCTCTGGCGGCGCGCTATTAGGCTATATCTCAAACTGTACGTTCATTAATTTTGACACAAAGAAGAGCCACTGCGGCAGCAAAACAAGTGTAAAAGACAAGGACGGACGAGTTGCTCTCGTGAGTTTGGTTGTGTGTGTGTATGTTGTCGTACAACTCACGAGTGCACTTTACACAAGCTGCGCCAGAGGTAGGGCGAAAAAAGCCGTGATGTTCCCTCTGTACACATACAACGAGCGCGCCAGCACATCAGGGCCATTATGCAAATAATTAGCGTGTCACGATGCCGCGCGGAGGAGGAAGAGAGAGAGGGAGGGGGACAAAGCAAGTTTCCATGTAACCCGCGCGTGGCAGAGACAATTGTTGAAATCTCGTGGCCCGTTACGATTGTCATTAAAAGCGCAAGTGTCGTTCGGAAAGTGCAATTGTTATGAGAGCATAATTGCCACCTCGACGAAGTCAAGTATATGTATACGCATCGAGCTTTTCCCGAGCTTCACGTGTTAATTAAAATTGTGAGCTATCGCGGCTTCATTCGCATACACATGGAACTTCGGCGTGGGTTGTATGCGCCCCCGTCTATTTACGCGCATCGGCAAACATTGTGATATCTGTGAAATCAAGCGTTTACGCTGCCTGTAAGTTGCGAAGGTTCAATGATTTCGTACGTAAAAATTCATTGATAATGAGATAAGTGTATCGTGTTTGTCTTTCTTATGGGATGCAAAAGTGGTAACATAAAATAAAAAACTAACACCGGCATATGGCTCGCTGTTTACATCCACTTATACGCATCTAGCATTATTAAAAACACTTGCACTTTTAATGATATGAAAATTGTGTCCCCAGATTTTCCATGAAACTTATGAAAAGCAAGATATCTACGTATACCTTACAATTTTGTCGAGTTTTCAAGCTCATTGATCGATTTATGCATAAAAATAATGTTTGGAGCAACGAACCGGTATTCATACACAAGGTTGAGACGAGGTCAGCTATGACGGACCGATTTACAGATGTTTACGATTGAAATAATGCACATTTAAAAAGGCATCGTTGTTCTAATTATAATGAAAAGTCGATTATTTTTTATTTTTATCGTCGAAGGTATATTTAGTGCGTGATACAATGCAACTTTTGTGTGAAATTTTATGCTCAAGTTTATTTCGAATTTCGATAAATTACGAATAATAGATAAATTTACCCAACTGGCTGTTAAAATTAACGTAATGACGTTCATCGGGTTGATTATCGTATCAACACTGAGTCAAAAATCAATATTGTTGTATACGCTCGGGGCAATTCCGTAATGCGTCAGACCTGGTGTGATTCCTCGCGACGTCGAGTACCCTGTGTGTGCATCCGTGCATGCAGCAGATACCGCTGCGGGGGCCACAGTCGTATCGCAGCGCGACTCTAATCCGCGACTCGACTCGCGGATCAGCTTTATGGATGATTTTTCCGAGACTTTTTTGTAGTACCGTTACGCAAGCTGTCATTTCATTTTTCTTCGCGCGATATAATGCGCGCGAGGCCACCACCCCCCAGAGTATACTTCGTATGCACACAGCTGCGAGTCACAGCTGTGCAAGCTTTTGACTCTTGCAAGCTCTCTGTTTGCAAGCTCTCGCTCGATCCTGACAGGTGAAATGGAAAACGATTTGCGTACTCAGCTACGAGTCGCGCGCGTTTAACGCACGAAGGAAAAAAACGAAAGGAAAAAAGTAATGCGAGGAGCTTGTGCGCGAGTAAGCACGCGTTGAACTTCAGCGCGGGTATGAAATTTCCATTCAATAATCACGAAGCTATACATGCGGAGCTTCGAGGCGTGCGTATAGGGAGCAATCAACGCGTCAAGAGGAAGAAAAAAAGAAGGAAAAATAAGAGAGCGCTCGCGAGTCAGTATAATACAAAAGAGAGTCGGCAGAGGCAAATAAACGCTTCGGATGATAAGTGTGACAAACACGCGACAGCGCTGCACCCCCCGCCACGCTTATACATGTCACCCATCCTACCCATATATGCACGTACTCGCGAGTGGAAGAAAAAAAAGCTTAAGTTGTTGTACGAAGATGAAAGAAAGAACGAAAGCAGCGGGTGTTTAAGTTGGTCACTCGTCTTGCGACCTATCGCGACCCTTTTCTTTCGCGTCGATTAAGCAACAAGTTGCCAATTTCTATTTTGTGTGTGTGTGTGTATTTCTTTGGTTGTGGTGTAGCCTTAATAATATATTTACAAAGGAGCGAGCGTGTCTTGACGTCATAAAACATGCGTTGCCAATTACCGATGTCAGCAGCTGATACGTACGCGCGCGCTCACAGGAGCTCCCCACGTGTTCGCGTTTTGTACGGCTTGAGAAATATTTTCGGTCGTGTATTGACTGTATATGATATGCATCGACGTGTGTACAGAGTGTGTATTTCGATTAAATTAATATCGCAGAAGATAAAGGAAAACATTTATTTTTTGCGTTACGAGTAGAACTAATTACGATACTAATTACTTATTGGTAAATTAGATGATTTAGTTCGAACGAGCCACGCGTCGGAATGAGCGCTCGATGTAAAGTCGACTTGCGTCGCTCGACGAACTTCGTCCGAATGCACAAAATTGAATTCGTCGATGCAGAAATAGACGTGATATGAAAAAAAACAGTACCGAAAAATTATGCGAACACACGAGAAAGCATGAATAAAATCCGCTGAAAGGAGCAACGAATCAATGAAACAAATATACGAAAAAACTCGTTAGATTGGCTTATATATTGAATCGAGGAGATTAATGGAAAAACGATTATGATTTTACTTCATTTTTCTTTCCGCTCCTATGCGGCCAACGCGCGTGTCGCTTATACACACTACACCACGCTTTACGCAACCGAACACGAAAGCTACTTTGAAAAAATTCTCACGATTCAATGATATTTTTCCTTTGGCTTTGCTGCTGCCAGAGCTCCCTCTTGTACTTTTTTTTTCTCTATACACGCGCTTCCTTTTCTTCAACACGCGCTAAAGAAAGAAAAGCAGCCAGATGACTTTTTGCCGGAGAGCAGCAAGCATGATCAGCTCATTCTGCTAGATATTTTCTCGCTTCTTTTTCATCAGTCTAATGAATTTTTCCTTTCCAAGGTATATACCGAGGGATATATATCCTGACGCGCCCAACATGTAACCCGGGTATATCATGGGTCCGTGTGCGAGTGCGTCATTGGTTTACACGTGGAAAATAGATATATAAATTTTCAGTGCATCCTAACAACGTTTGGATATACAGGAAAACCTCGGTATTCGCGGTTAATTCGTTCCTGAAAAGTGCCGCGAATACGGAAGCATTGATTTTATATGTAAAATGGGGGTTACGTTCCAGAGAGTTTGAAAAAGTCTAATTGTGGTGAAATTTTTTGTCAAAAACGAAAAATAAAACTAATTACAGCACTTTTTCTTGTATTATAAAATAAAATAAATATAATACAATTCGCTGTTATACACTTATTATAATCTAGTGATTTTACATAGTTTAGCTGCAGATTGATCGAATTGTAGACTCGTTGACTACATATCTCCTTGCAACCGACGCAACTTTCTTACCGCTGTTTAAAAGTTGTAAAATTTTCAACTTTTGTGCCATGTTCATGACCGAATTATCTCGAGACTTCAACGAATTTTCGTAAGGAGATTTCTTTTTAGGAGCCATGATTTTAATGAAAAACATGTTAATCACTAACCTAGACAAAATTTTACAACAAAAAAATTGATAGATGCGAACAAGCTGTGAATCATGTGTCAATCCGCGAATCTGCGAATCAGGGACGCGAATACAAAAACGTGGTATTAATTTTAAAATCCTTTAGCTTTAGCAATTTTCTTTAGCAATCTTTTAGCAGTTTTCCTGTAGCTTTTTTAGAAATCGTAGAAATATCTTTCAGCTGAAGGTTACCATGAATGAGGAGTCATTTTTTGTCATCGAATTCTAAATGATGATGACTTCTATTGTGTGAAAATGAATATTCACGAAGAAACCTAATCGATATTTGTACAGCGGAGGCGTAGGTTTGGACGTAATATTGTAACGAAAAAGGTGTATCAAGCTCTAATCAAACAAGCCCAGTATGTTCAAATAAAAATATATACCCCGTAGCGAATAAACAGAGCTTATTTACTTTCGGTAATTAGCGAAATTCAATTGTGCCTAAAGAGACAAACAGAAATTGCTCATATATCAATGTGAACTCGAGTTTGATACACTTGACGCTGACGCGCGAATATATTGTATATCTCTGCGTCAGACTTGGCCGATTACAGTTCGGTAGCGGTGGTCAGTCCATCCGACGGTGCCGGATATCGCTTCTCGAGTGTCAACGCTTTTTTATATTTCATTGCCCCATATCGCAAGCAATACTCGAAACGAACTCGCGCTGACTCGAGCAAAGATCTTGGCACGCAGGCACAAATAAGCCACGCGCTCAAGTACAGCATTTTGTCAATAAAGTCAATATTTGTACGATCAACGTAATTGATATACATTCTCTATTGTGCGCTCAACATTTGCATCAAACGATCCTCGTACAGATGTCAGGAATCGAGTATCCTAATTGATATTGTTCTATTTTTGATGAGAAAGAAAAAAATTTTTCGCCGAATTCAACTTGAAAGTATCCTCGAGAACAAAATTAGTTAGCACGAGGAATTACGTCTGAAAAATTAGTGGTAGTATTTTGTCCGTACACGCAGAGATAAGTCGGGCAACATTGTGAGCGAGAAAAAGCCCCCGAAAAAAATCCTCACGCCGAACGCGTGACATCTGTACCCCCTCGCGTCCCACTACACCGCGTCAAGGAATATTATCTGCCCCTGGTGCGTGTGCGCGACTAATACGCATGGCCATATAGCATCCGAAAACGAGAGGGAGAGTGCGCGCCTCGTAGACAAAAACACACACACACGAGTATCGTAGATGAAATTCAATGGCATACGCGTATGTGAAAGCTCCTCTCGGCTCGCCTATGTATTCGTTATAATTCGAATGGTGTGGGTGTGCTTGCGCGTTCGGAGCTGATATACGTGTGTATGTGTGCGTGTGCAGTGCGTGCGTCGGACCACGCCTCCGCCTCCTCTCGCGTATATACCTAGAAAGAGAGAGAGAGAGAGAGCTGTGGCTGCCGAAGCTACTACACCACTACTTTCGTCCTACACTTTACCGCGCGTCACACACAAATACACACACTTCTGCACACCCACAGGAGCAGCAGCAGCAGCAGCAGCAGCAGCAGTAGAGTAAGCAGCAGCAACGATCTATGCGCGAGAACCCCTCTTTGCGCCGAGTTTCTCCTTTGATGCTATAAAAGCAAGCTGATGCGCGGCCGGTGCTTCACTCATCCGCACGCAGCAGCTCTTAGCAGATATACACGACTCTCTCGCCTATACATACGTACATATTGTCACATTACATTCGCAGGATAACGCGTGCGCGAGATTAGACCATCTACTGCTGGACTAGCTGCTGGATACGTTACGTACACCTGCGACAGTGTGCCACCTGCGAGTATACCTTTTGGAGCAGCAGCAGCAGCCACACACGACAGCAGCACCCCTACCTCGAATCGAGTGCGCGAAATAGACAGAGTTGTGCACGCGAAGATCGAGGCGTTGGAATTGAGATTGAGTTCGGCGATCGTATTTCGAGCCAAGGATCGCAAAAGTCGAATTCATTCGAAATCTTGATTAAAAGTACGAACTCATATAAACGAAGCGAACGATGAAGATCGAACTGGTCGGATTGCTCGTGCTGATCGTCTGTGCGACTGTTATCCTTCGCGCAGATGCTGCTGCTTACTTCGACTTGGGTAAGATATACACCTTCCTATTGGCATTTATTGCGTGTTTGTGTGTTTACTTGACACTCGACTACAAGTGGATTAGATCAAGAATCGTCGAGACGCGCGAGCGCCCAAAGTGACCGTGTGAATGCAGTGCTGAACGATTCGACTTTTCGATCACACTTGTTGAACCTAGGCCTTAGGCAGGCTATAGGCGATTTATCACGCTATACGTGCCGAGAGATTCAACTCGCAGAGAGAGAAAGAACATTTATCGCGGCCCATATGGAAAAATAAATAGCTTGCGTTTGACACTCGGTCCATAAAAGCTCGCGGCGGAGCCTGGCAATTCGCTCGAGGCGAGCGAATAATTCGAATTTGTACCCACGTCTTCTTCTTATACGTACGCGCAAATCGATTTTCGTCGTTATCGCTCGTACATATCGTAGTAGGTCGCGTTTTAGTATTATGTATTCGGCGTGTCGTGCTCTTGGGACGATGCAAGACATATATAATTGCGTGTAGCACACATACGACGATGTAGCCATCTATGTACGTGCGTGTGGGATATTCGTACGGAAGGCGAGGAAATGCGAAAAGTTTTGACTAGTAAATTACGTTATGTAGCCACGTGTAAGCGAGCGTGTAATAAACTTCGCAGCACATGTATATCATGTAATCCCGCTCGCACTACGAGATTTACATTTAAACTGAAAAACCTCGACTCTCGTTTCTACGTTTTCTTTGATTAAATATATTCTTGCACCCTGTGCGTATGCGTTTGTATACTTAAGCGAAAGAGAAATAAATAAGCCCGCGATATCGTTTAACCGAGCCCTGTCATTGAAGACTTTTTCTACCACCTAGCCGTGATAGATCATGTAGCATAAATGAAGTGTACATTGACAGGTGCTAGCGCAGTAACCGTCGCATAAACGATTGAATTACGAACGTTAATTAAATTTTCTCTCTCTCCCTCTCTATCTCTTTCTCTCGCGCTAACTTCTTCGTCCTTTTATTTCATGAATTTTTCACTAGGGCGTTAGTTTATATTTCCCAAGGAAAATATTAATTTAAAAAACTCATTCGGGTGCGAGCTGCGAGAGCGCTTTCGAGTTTATCTTCGCTAGCGTTCGCACAGAAAATTATCACAATGGTATATACTTGGCGAACAATTATGTTTCTCCGACGACGACGACGACGAGGACGACGGTCAAAGTCAACCAAGTAATTGTTTTTTTTTTAGAGGGTCTGCAACGATTGTTACACGTTTCTGTGGAAATTTAAGCGTGGCCGAGGAATCGAGGATTGTAATGTGTATTTTAGCGATTAGGTGACGACAGAGTCGATGGATTGGAAATCCAAGTAAAGCGAGCTTTCAATTTTTCAATAAAATTAACTGCTATTACACGCAGTTTTAAATTAATCCCTCTTGCGCGAGCGAGACTTTTATTAACATAAATTTGCTTTCGAGCGCGAAGGAAAACTCATTAAAATCTCCCTCCAGCCAAGCATCCCAGTCGCTCTACATTATGTAGCTGTGTAACGCGTGGATGTAAAACAAACTAACTGAAATTTAACAAAATTTGATCAAGCCCCGAGCTTATGTGCATTTATACACGCGTCGAATAATTCATTACCCGACGAATAAATTCACTTTCGCGTATTTCGGAAGTTGCGTTTGAAATTCAACGAGTCCAATCGGGAAGCGTCGGCGTGTGCGAGGGCGATGCGAGAAAAGAGCAAAAATTAATGCGTACGCATGAGGAGGATCTTTATCAAAGAGCTTGCTGGCAGCGCGCTTTTTTGCCGAGTGCGAAAAATCAATGCAACTTTTATGAATTATTTATATATCTTGTACCCAGTACCAGCAGCACGCACGAGCTAAAAGGGCATTATTACAAACTGCTTCGCGAGATATACCTATTATCTGGCAAGAAAAGAGCAAGGAAGCTCTTTTGTTTCGTCGAGAAAACCGAGAGACAATGAAACATTTTTATTTCCCCAAAGTGTAAGAACGAGGGAGATGTTTGAATTGCGCTGCACGAAACTTTTATGTGCTTGCGGGCGCGCCGCACTTTCAACCGAATTGAACGCGAGTACGTATATTTTTACAAGTGTTGCTTCATGATTTTCATCCCTAAAAACTGGGTAAAATAAACTTCGCGATAATATCGGTTTTACTCGAGTACATAAATCTAATTACTACGCTGGGGGAAAAAAGAAGACGAGGATTATGTGGCACCAGATACAGCGTCAGTATGTCCAAGACATTCGAGGACATATAGTATGTCAAATTGGATATGATACACGACGCTTTGACTCGCGTGTAATCTCTCCAAGGGTTCGGATCCTTACATAAAATAAAGCGCCAAGATCAACGGAGCACGTAATAAAAGTAGGCGGCGTCTCCGTGGCGGATTATCGCGAATTACGATGGCAGCGCGCGAGGAGAGAAAATTCATAAATTTAATCCAAGCAAACGCACTTGCGTGTGATATATATAAATTGGGTATAAGCGTGCTGCGCTGCGTGGTTCGAGGAATGAAGAAAAATAAAGAGAGAGAAAAATCTTATCGTTATTTAACGGGTTCTCGTGTGTGCTTTATGTTCAGCCGCGAAAATATAACCGTACGATTATTTTTCCTTTTTCTCCCCAGATGACGAGCTTATGCCGTCGGATTCGGACTACCAGGACAACGCTCTGGAAAATATATTGCACAGTGAGCAGCAGAAGTGAGTAACCATAAAAACAGAGAAAAAAACACACCAATCATATTCGCTATGCACATGTAACATAATATATTCATTTATAAGTAATACGATGTTACATATACCTATCTCTCTGCATGTCCTATCCTTTACTTCTCAGAGTTGAAGGTTTATTTTTGATTTTTTTTTGTGTGTGCGTGTAAGCCTACAGTAGTGTCGCGCGGAACGACTGAGAGCTTATACTTGTTGAATATGCATGCGCGTTCGTGTTACTCGATTCGAGGCGAGCTTGCAAGCAAATAAAAAGCTTCGTCGACACATACGCTTGTGCATATTCGCGTTTTTTTTTTTTTTGAATGTCGACTGTACGATTGCGAATGGAAAACATTTGGACGAAAAGCGTTTCGGATTGCTGGGTTGAACCAACTACCTTTTTTTTCTCTCATTCATTCGATAATTCGAAGCGTCGATACCAACAACGTTTTTAAAAATCATTTATGAAGATTTAATAATAAAAAATAAAGCGGTATCGACGAGTCGCTTCACACAATTTTTTTCTCATCGCAACGTGTAGATGGCATCTACAACGCAGAAAAAAAACCCAAGCACTCGGAAACCAGGCTCCAAACGATAAATCAAATGAATTTCTTCTATCGCTTTGAAAGAATTTTGTCGAATCTGTCGCAATGAATAAAGACTCTTTACGCTTATGTGTTCAGTATACAAATACAAGTTAGTTGATTTTCACTTTTTTTCAAACGGGCAGCCTGTGTGCTCTCTCCTTCTCTATACATCTAGTGCGAGCTACGGTGAGCTTTTTTACAAATTTTCTCTATATACGCTCGACGTGATATTTTCTCGGTCGATGTCTCGAAACTCTCAAAGCTGCTGTGCGTATTTTTATAATTGTGTGTGTTGACGGTGAAACAAGTATCAAAATTTTTGAAAAAGTAAAAATTGCAATGAAAATTAAAAAAAAAAAAAAACACGAAAGATGCCAAAAACAAAACGAAACAAATCCTTTTTCGATCTCTCCCATTGAACGCTGTGATGGATTAGACGAGCCTCGTGGATCTCTATGTTCAGGCGGGCCTGCGTACCACGCAACGGGATCTGCGACCACCGGCCCAAAGATTGCTGCTACGGCGCCAGCTGCCGTTGCAATCTCTGGGGCTTCAATTGCCGCTGTCAGCGCGTCGGCCTGTTCCAGAAGTGGGGCAAGTAAGACGTCTACTTAATTCCTCGCCCCGATATCGTCGTCGTTTTACCTGCACCAACACCACAACAACAATCAACAACTACAACCTCTCGCACACGCCGCATCGTCGACAAACAGCTAATCAACAACTCCGACAACAACAACAACAGCTACAACTACAACACCATAATGGAGCGACGAAGCTAGTCGTGTAATAAATCATCATGCGTCAAGCTCTATGCGCGTGTAAGGCTCGAGTGCGAATAAGAATCCTAATCAATAGCGCATAAGACAATTGATTTAACTGATTTTATTTCTTAATGTTTATCAATATTCTTTACTTATTGGTATAATAGTTATATTTTTTTAATAATCATAACAGTAATTAATTATTATATAATAATTGTGTGATAGGTTCGACATCTATCGTTTATCATTTGTCATTTGTTATCTTCATCCAGAAAAGGGATCTCTTCTATAAGCATGAATTTAAGATAGTTGCTTAGAGATAAGCCTTTAATATTTTGAGTGTGTAGATTTGTCACATACTTAACTCTGAGTTCTGTTGGCTTTTATAAACATCCGTAGTAAACCCAAGTTACATATTATAATGATGCCTCCGTGTATATCGATTAAAAAAAAAACTTATTCTAAAAATGTGACTATAACGATTATCAAATAAATGTCGTAAAAATGATGTATTAAAATTATGATATAATGATCAAAAAGCTCGGAACTAAACTTAAAAAAAACTCGTTAAATGTAATGACAAAAAATAAACGCGTCATTCATTGATCTCAAGTTTCTTTGAGAGATTATCAAGACTGTATAAAAATAATAAATTAAAGAAAAATAATTTTACCCTCTGCACTGTATGCATTACATAAATGAATGTATATCATGATTTTTCAGTAGATTATACGATAAAAACTTATTGATTCGTTTCCATCTTCAATTCCGTAGATTAGGATAATAACTTGAGTGGCTGTACTTATTTGACCTGTTGAACGTTCACCACGAGTATACGGAAATTATGCGTGATCCATACGATAGTCACCATTTGAAACAGATACGACACATGGCATAGATCAGACGGGAGGGGGGATGGGAATTATATCGAATAGAGTGTAGGTGGGTATGCCGTAACAAAGTGCATAAGCAATCATGGCTCATCTAATCACATTTCGGTTATCGGTCATAATTGTTACAAAGGCGTTTGCGTCAGATTATCGATTTTTCATATCACTTCTATATTATCAGCGTACTCGCATAATACGAAATTCAAAGTTTATATACATAATACGATATAATATATTATATACATAATAAAACAAAGTCAGTTATTCAGACTATGTTACGCGAGCAGTGGCACACGATATGAACTTCTGACGCGGTGCCTAATGTTTGAATTTCTGAAATTGAATTTCAAAGATAAATTCCGTTTTATTTGTCACGTTTATATACACCATAAAATCTCTCTTTCGACAATCGAATGGAAATTCAAGTGTTTGTCTTCTCTTATGCGTGACCTTTTCATTTCTTTTTTCCCTTTTCTTTCTCTTCTTGCTTTATTATATATCGCATCCACCGAGAGGTGGAATCGATAAGTCTCGCTGAAGGCACAAATACACGTTTTGCGCGCCATTCGCCTCCGAGACGCAAATAGTCAGTGTAATAGAAAAGGGGGAGGGCTCAAGACTGACTTAAATCTCCGCGTGTTGTGTTTTTTCCGTGTGATTGCTTGTAAGCCATAGTCGAATTAGATGCTTATAAGAGCATATACCTCGTGTATTGCATGTGTGTACAATTAATAGAAATTATATACGATCAATTACAGCGGGCGCATATTAAAACGTTCGCAGATGTTCCCAAGCGCCGATTCGTTGCAAGCTCGCCAACTCACCCCCTCCTACCCTCTCTTTCCTCCAATATCGTCGCCGGCACGATTGTCCGACACCGTTTCGCGGATTTCTCTGTCTCTCTCGAGCGCGAGCTTAAATCTTAATTGCGCGCGTTTGACAACGAGTAAAAAACTTGTTACAATGCGGAAGCTCTCGCGTCCAGTCCCATTAAACTTTTTCGGTTAAAATTGCAATCGAGAGCTTTAACCGATTCGTTCGCAAAGCCGTGTAAAATCGATTTCGTGGTTGGCGCGCTTCGTGCCGCTGCGGTTAATTCCACCGAAATCTCGTTCAGTTTCATTCGATAATTAATTGGACGAAAAATTAAAATGGCCGTTACATTTCGTCGTTGTCGCAATTGTCGCGTCCAGCTACACGCGCGCCTGGCGATCAGCCGCTCCGTCGTACACTCGTGTCGCGACAGTCACGGTTCTCGTTCCTCGACATAATATTATATACGAATAGTATCCTCTCGAAAGTCCCGATGTAATAAGCTTTTCAACGCGACACGCGCATGTATCGGCATGTGTAGGTATTACGCGTGTCGCAAATAAAAATCGCTATATATACGCAAACAGTCGTTAGTTTTTTTTCTCCTGCACACGGGCTCGTAATCTTCTTGTAACGTGGGTCGGGGCACCTGCAAACAATCAATAGGAAAAAAAATACATAAAAAGTGCGAGCAAGATTTGTTCCGCATTATAGGCGGAACGAGGGACTTTGCCGCGTGCGTGCTTGCATGCATACATGCGTGTGCGTATGTATGGATGGATGTGTCACGCACGTGAAAAGCAGGTTAATGGTCAATTTCTGTCCGAGCATACAAACATTATTTAATACGTAAAACATACACACACATACATATAGGAACACAGATATTCGATCAGGAAAGAGAGAGAGAGAGAGTAAGAAAGAGAATGAGGCGCGAAGGCGCGCATTACGTGACTGAAAAATTCTTTATGCGAATTAATTACTTGTCAAACGAATAATATATTAACGACGTTACAGTGTATGACATTATATAGATACAGATTATTATATATACACACATTCACTCGCTTCTATTTGGTTCCGCAGTAGTTCGAAATTTGAACGTAGTGAAGTAGGGTCTCAGCCTATGCTAGTTCGTATATTATTGTTACATTATTCACGCTTAATTTGTCACAGAGGCGACCCCAACTACGCTAGATTCTAGCTGTTGTGGAATCAAACGGAAGCGAGTGTACATGGTCAGTTATATTTTCGATGATTTATTTTTGTTACGACTTATATAGATATATTTACATATATTTACAATACATAGACACAATATATCACATTGAAAAAAAAATTACAATGAAAGCTGGATTTTTCCGTCTCTAATGAAAAAAATGATACATTATATATATTATATGAATAAAAATTGTGTATATGCGCTATGTGGTTATATTGATAAAGAAAAAAAATATATTTGACAAAAGTAAAAAAAAAGATTATATAAATATTATATATAAATTTCGAAATAAAAATCTCTATATGCATTGTATGTGTTATGCTATATGAACCATATATTAATATTGTTTATTTTTTACCTGATGTATGTACAATGTCGTGTATAGAAAAACAAAACAATTGCAGCAACAACAGCAAGCTACAAATGAAAATATATAATTATGCATTATAAGAAAAATCATTAAAACTATATTCAATTTTCTATGACGAATGCTCATTTTTATACATCATCCATACACTCCTTGATTATATTTAGCCTTGCCGGGAGTAGGTATATAAAAAAAGTTTACAGCTTTTCGCCATCATTGATTCGTAAAAAGCATCGTTTTATGCGCGCGGCCACTGCAGCACATCTCGCATATCAGTGATAATTTCCTTTTTTTGGTTTCAACGCGGATAAAAGCATTTCGAGTGCTTGCGGAGTCGTTACGACGCCAGGACGCCGCGCATTAAAAAAAGCTTCCGCCCTTTTTCTTATGCGTAAATATGTATATAGGCGGCCTGCTATCGACTCGGCGTATCGTAGCTCGAGATATTATTTTGCTCGTGAAAAATATAACGCGCACAGTGAGCTGGTTCACGTGCTAAAACTTTACTGCTTTTGTGTACGCTCTCGTAAGCTCTGTAAAACTCGAGATTTGTTTTTTCTCTGTGGCTGCACACACACAAGCGGGCAGATGCAGCAGCGAATATTTATGCATATGAGAGACGTTGATTGCGCCGCGCTTCCGTCGCGTTGATTTATACAAAAATAAACTGCAATTACAATTTATACGGAGGTGCGCATTAAGACATTGTGTGACACGGATCGCGGTGGCGGTGGTCTACGCGACAATAATTAGTAATTGTTTGTCATTGGAGTCGCAGCCGAAATAGTTGCGCAATCGCGCGAATTAATGCCGACACATATTTTGCTCTCTCTTCTATTGCTGCTTAAACGCACAAAAGACGCGCGACGTGTATTATATACCTAGTGCAGTACGGTATGGAGCAATTGAGCTCGCGACCGAACCTGACTCATCGGAGCATTACATTATATTCATGTACTAGAGAGAGAGTGGAGATGGGCTCGACACACATAAACACACGATGCGGTGCGTAAATAATTTCGTTACGCGATCATCCGCCGTGTGTGTGTGCGCGCGCGTTTGCAATTGGACTACGCGTGCTGCTGCTGCTGCTATACTTACTCTGCTCTGTTGTTGTGCATATATAGAGTAGTTTATATATGGCACAATAACACCTAAGAGGCGTTGCTCTCTCTCTCTCTCTCTCTCACTCAGTCGGAGCTTTGCCATTATAATACATGAGATACATAACACGTCATCGCGTCGCTGCTGCTGCTGCTGCTGCTGCCCGACTTTTATTATCACAGTCGAGCGATCTCGCGCCAGTTTGTTTAGGCAAATTTTCAAAAGAAAAAAAGGGTGAAAGCCAAAAAAAAGTGTCATTCTACTCGCACGAGGGGAACTCGATCGATCGGATCAGACAACTGGGACAGGCATCGCGTAATAACGACAAAAAAATTGCCGATTCACCTTAGCCGTATGCGAGTTCGCGCTCGGATCGTTACTTACATATTTTGCATTGTGCATCGTGCCCGTACTTTTATATGCACGCCCGTTGAGCAATAAATTAGAGCAATTCCGTTCGGAGCGCCAAGTCCGACGAACTCGTCGCCGTCTACGCGCTTGTATAGACGCATTATAAACGCGCACACGCCGCAACGAAGCGTGAAAATTCGGAAAAGCGTCTCGCGTCATTGCGCCTCGAGTGCTGGCCACACTGTATGCGATACATGTGTATACCTTTATGTGCAGCTTATTATATTCTCGCGTGTCGTCCTCTTCTCGCGTTCGGCATGATATACCGAGCCGATGGCAGGATTTGCGCTTGTCATTTCGTCGCTGACGCGCATATATAACTCGCGCAGCTCGTTTTCTCTTGACACGAGCCAAAGACGTACGATGTTGTCTCGTACATTGTTTTATTTTATTTTTTTTTTCTTTCCTCGTTCTGCCATTTGCTAATTTGAAGGTGCACCCGCGTGGCCGTGGGCGCGACAAGAGAATTTACAGAGTGGAATTTTTCAGACGTAAGAGATTTGTTTTCGCAGCTATTTCTGTCCAGCGAGTCTAGGTCAATTTCAAAAAATCGATTCGCCAATAAAAGTCCACCGTCAATTCTACAAAGAGACAGTTATCGAATTCTGCCTGTTGATTTTTCATTTCGAACGTGTAATAAACTAACTGTTGATACGTGAAAGACAATCGGATGTACGTAAGGCTAATACGTAAGTGCACGCAGCGCATGATTTTTTTCTTCTTTTTTTTTTGTTGAAGCACGTGATGCACAGTTTGGATCTCACTTGGGTACACGTTATAAACCCAACTAATTGCTTTTTTAGGTCGACGTTTGCAGCAGCGTTACAGGCAGTAGTAGCGAGTGGCTCTCGAGTCCGTGCGGCGCAGTTCCAGCTGTGTGCAAAAGTAAGTCGTCGAGGAAAAAGAGAAAAAAAAAATACAGACGGACGCACACACCTCGTTCCAGCGGCCGACTGCGATGCGTACACACAGCGATATTGTTTCATTTATTCGAGATCGTGCATTTTACTATTCTATCGGAATTCTCGCTCCAATTCTAAACATCTTACTTCATTACGATAAATACATTTTCTTTTCGCGCATCTTCGCATGCGACTTTCCTCGTTCGTAAAGTAGCTTACATTGAAAGAAAAAAGAGTAGAGAATTGAGAAGTAAGAGAAAAAAAAGAGCGACGAGCGCGAGAAGACATTGCGAGGCGTTGCGCAAGAGCTAATGAGCGTGGCAATAAAAAAAATAACACCTACGTGCGTCGTCCGCGGCGCGTACCACACATACGTGTACGCATACATTCACGCACGTGCATAATAGCGCGAGTGCGCCAACAACGAGCACGCGATGTAACCGCGACGGTGTAGTGCACAGTGGCTCGTGTGCGCTACGTGCATATCAGCGAGCCTATTGATTTATAATTGACTCCAGCTTTGACGCTCGGCTCGCACTGCACTGGGATCGCTGCAATGACAAACAAATTGAGGCACGACGAAAGAAAAAAATAGAAGAGAGGAAAAAAAATTACTTTCAGAGACACGCGGTCCCAGATGAGAGTTGCAGCTATATGTATATTATATGTATGCCTGGGCATCGTGGCGCAGTTTATTTTATATGCAAACGTGTCCCACGGTCGGTGCGCCGCGCCGAGCGCAACGCGCATTATATATAGCGTGCTGCTATACGCGCGAGATCGAACGACAGCAATTTTTCCAATGTACGTCTTATTTATAACGGCCACTACACACAGCTACTTTTTCATTCATCTTGTTACGAGCTGCGCGCGAGCTTTACTTATTGTTGCTTAAGTCGAGCTTTGCAAGCATAAATACGCTTCTTTTATGATCCATGATAAATCATTGTTTAATTTTTTTTCTTCGTTTTTTTTTCGTAATTTCCCTTGCGAACGAGGAGCCGGAGCAGGAGCAGGAGCAAGCAGCAGCAGCAGCAAAGCTGATTAAATTCTCATCGCATAAGCTCTTGCATCAAATTCATTTGACGAGGATTCGAGAAAGCGAGCTCCAATGTAGAATAATAATTTTTTCACGTCGATATAATTCATAAACGTATATTGTATAAGAATTCATAAGAATCGGGCTAATCTTAGTTTACAAATGTTGTTGGTATTTGTATTTATAAAAGTGTGAAATTATTTTCCACCGAGTCTCGCACCACGAAAACATTTCATCTCTCTCTCTCTCTCTCTCTTTCTCGAGTCAATTATGCAAGACACGAATCGGTATGTATGTCTTGAATGCAATATATATGCAGGGAGAAAAGAGAGCCTTGCACGCGTTGAAGAAAAAGCTACACGTCTAGGAATGCGCCAAACGAGTAGATGATACTTTTTCCTGGTTCTTTTTTACTCTCTCTCTCTCTCTCTCTCTAGCTCAGCTCTCCTACTCTCGCGGCTCCGCTTGACTATGTATATTTGCCAGTGCCGTGTGCTATTCGTGAAAGATGCAGAATTCCAAGCGCAAGTGGTTCGCCGCCAGAGTCTTTACTTTTTGCCGCAAATGCGCTAAGTACACGAGACTCTTTCATTCTTTATACTTTTTTGTTGTTGCTGTTGCTGCTTTTTTGCTCTTTTATCCTCGCGCCAGCAGCAGCGCGTCTTGCAGTGTTTTGCGTTCTTAAAAACACTCCTTTTTTTTCCTTTTCTTTTACCGCACGCGATATAATACGCGCGTCGCCTGGCCACCTCCCGCGTGTAATTTTCGCACCCGATTTTTCTCTAATAGTAAATGCGATGCAGACAGTATGAAGCTGCAGATAGCGAGTGAGAGAGAAAACTACCGTGTCCCAGCTTTATTTAGCTCTCGTCGAGTATAATATGAGAGGATAGGTGACGATGCGATGCGCCTCTGCTCTCGTCGTCAAACTCTCTCACTATCTCTCGAGCTGCTGTCGCTTCTTCGCTTCATTGTAAGCGGGACACGGTGTCAAAGATAGAGGCGTCGAGCTTGTTTATGGGCTATATATACATGTTCGAAATTTACGGTGCTAGTTTCGCGACTCTTGGAGTTTCACTTGCGCGCGCCTATATAGAGGAACGTCTTTAACGAATACTCGAGTCGCGCTCGAAGCAGTGCTATATGTATAATAACACAGGCACGCGAGACACAATATGCTCGATATGCAGCGGGGGGGTAAGCATAGCTCGTTTATCGTAAATTCAACGAGTACAAAAGCTTCGATGAAGATATAATATGCGCGCCTTATAATTGTACTTCATACATGAATCGTCGAACGTGACAAAAAAAAATTATTCATATCCACAGTTGTATACGTTTAATTATAAAGTCGCTCGAATCGAGGCAAGGTTAGGCGCTATTATAAGCGAGTCATTTCATGGGATTTTCAAGTACAAGCTGGCCTACTATATTATGCATCAAAAACGTATCTCTGCGTCAGGCTCGAGCACTGAATATGCACGATGCGTGCGTAGCGAAATGTACGCGCGTGTGTGCATGCGGACACACGTATACATAATACAACTGCGGCTGCACCGCACACGCGCCCATACGCGCAGCTATAATAAAGAGGGAAATGCCAAGATGAGGAGAATAAAGAACGAAGGATTGCTGGAGAAAGAGAGAGAGAGAAGGAGAAGTTCCATATACAATATGCTGTTATTTACCAGGGTAGCCGAGTTTATAAGCCTGAAGGAAGACCGACGCAGTGAAGCCGTGTCCCGGTGTTGAATGAGCGAGTTAATGGTTGAAAAAGCAGGTCCTGGGCTTTACACCTATCACAAACGTCACGAGAGAATAAGAGGCTTAAAGAGTTGCGAATTGTTAGATCTTTACACGCGTGAATCCGACTTTGAGTTCCATCGTCGAAGACGTATTTGCTTCTCGTACTCCGATGAAACGATGGAAAATCCTTATAAAGGCTATACAAAATCGATTCGTTTGTTTTTCATCTTTCTGCTCTGCGAATTCTCGAGTCGGACAAAACGAATACTCGGGAGCGAGTGAAAATCGGAGTGCGCACTCGCAATCATCGGCAACAGCTGTAACGCGTGTCAAAGTGCGGTTCGTGCTAATTGTCATTCTTGCATTGTAGCACGTATATCGCGCTCAAAATACTTGGCCGTCGCGCATACGTAGATAGCAATGAGTATCAGAGGCGCAATTCATTCGCGACCTCGGGATACCCAATATCGAACGTGGTAATGAAGATATACGTGCGGGTGGCTGTGCGGAACGATCCGTCTTACCATCGAAACGTAGCTCGTATACGATACGTTGTATTATAGCCACTCGATCGCGCAGCGCAAGCGCGACAAATACTGCACGGTATTTTAAGGTAAGCGTAAGCAAAACAACGAATGATAATTTCGACATTTGCGTCGCGCCACGTATCTGTCAAATGGTATGCTTATATTGTATATGGAACAATATGCACACATCATATATGTAAGTACGACGGCGGCGGCTGTGTCGGTAATAATAATCATACAAAGGGGCACCTGTCGCGCGCAGTAATGCACATTCGCGCAAAACAATGCCAGGCCGTACGGCACGTATGTACGTGTATAAAGTCGACTGCATCGCGAGTGCATAATTTAATCCAACTCTTTTCTCTCTCTCTCACTTACTCTTAGTATCCATGTATATAAAATATATACATGTATAAAAGTATGCGTTGGATCGCGCAGGTAAGTAAGTATAGCGCTATAAACATGCGCAGATATTCTCGCGGTGCGCTGCATGCGAGACTAGATGTGGAAGTCGCCGGCATGCGAGCTGCCGCGAAGCGAAACGTATACATCGCGCTCGTGAACTGCACACGGTGCACACATGCTTAGGCGAGCCTGCAGCGAGTTTGGCGCGCGCTACGTGCGTGTGCAGCAGCAGCAGCATATAGCGAGTATAGCAGCCGGTCTCTGTCTGTGTGCGTACGTATACTATAATGTACTTTGCTGCACATACTATATGTGCGCGTTGCAAGCAAGCTCTATAGTGCACGTACGACGTCGACGAGCCACCTCTTGCTGCCGCTCGGTGTGCATAAGCCGCGATGCAACGCAAACCTCCTCCTCCTCGCTCTTCGTCCTTCTCCTCCTCTATACCGCACTCGAGAATCCGCGTGTTGTGTATACTGCACGCGAGTTGTGCACGGCAGAGCCTATAGAGCTTCGTGAGTAGCGGCCTGCACACATATACTATGTATCATACACTGCTGGCACGGTTGCAGGCTCGCGGCTGCTCCGATATATACTCCCAACACACACAGAGACCTCGCGTATAGTCCGACTGGCACTGGTTCGCTTCTACCTCTCTCTACCTCTACCGCGACACATACACCTCTCTTTTTCTCTCTCAGCTCAGCTCCGTGCAGCAAAGGCGCGCGCGAGAGCGGCTACGTTCCTCTCTCGGCTCTCTCGCGCTCTCCTCTGCTGCTGCTGCTGCTGCCTCGTCCGTCGAGCACGGTACACACGCTCTTCGGGCTTTTGGTTTTTAGTCTATAGCCGTGTGCGCGCCAGTGTATACGTTGCGAGTGTGTGCATGCCGCCACCGCGCGAGTATCCAAACGTATATCGCACAAAAGAGTGCACCCGACCAGTGCACCCGATTACAACTGCGCGGAGAATAAAAGTGTCCGATAGAGAGAGAAAAATTGCCATGTCCTCCCTGTGTCTCTGTGCGTGAGAATATTTATTTATATGTTACGTAGGATATAATAAAAGGATATCGCGAAGCTTGAAACGGGTGTGCGTGCGTGCACGCGATCATATACGCGCAGAGAGCCGAACCGACTGCCTAGAAGTAGTAGTCGATCGTGTCGGTGCTAGCGGTGGTGCACGTAGCGCGCAGACGAGCTCAACTGGCGCGAGTCCGTCGTCGATCGATCGGTTGCGACACACACGCCATGCGCGCCTTTATGCTGCTGCTACCGCTGCTGCTGCTGCTGGCTGAACCCGTGGTGCTACTACTACCGCTGCCACTGCCAACGACATCGTCCATACGTCGCTGCAGCCTGCCTCGGTTGTAGTACCTGCGCATTAAGTACGCCTGCGTGTGTATACGTTTATAACCAGCTCTAGGCTTCGCGGTCGATGACTCGTGTTTGCCGCTGCTGCTGCTGCCAGCTCCTGCCCGCGTATAGCGCATAGCGTTATACCTGCGCCGCGCCGTATACGTTTGTGTACACAACGGCATAGCTCCCGTATACCGATCGTCGTGCCAATCCAGAGAGCTCCTGCCGGTCCACTGCTCCAGTGCTCCGAAATTAATCGTGTGCCAGTGTCCATGTGCCTTTTACACCGCTCTCTTTCTCCGCGAGCGAGCCTGTGATTGTGCATTCATGCCTCCTTCGTACATGTGCCAGAGCGATCGTAATTATATATATGCTCCTTGTTGCGTGTGTGTAAGTGTGTGCTTTAAAGTCAGTGCTACTTTACTTGGCCGCGACCTGCAGCAGCTCCTGTTGAATTACAATCTCAAGGTTGCGCGTATGTGCAATTAAGCAACCGCGCGACACATTGTCTGTGATCCACGCGATCGTGTGCAATTTTTCTTTCTATTGTTATAACGTGTGCATCGATACGTCTCTGCAGTTGTTTTTACTTTCTTGCGGAGTAGTGCGATCCTGACAGTTATAGCCATCGTCAACTTTGTTTTCCAATATCAATAACAATAATGGTGCCGAGGTTGGCTTAGGTATATTTCATTGCGAGCGTGAACCAAGGAACTCGAGACTGCAACCGGCTGGCGTGCACAGGCAGACAAGATTTTCTCGATATTCACACGCCGAACCTCTGCTCCTTTTTTGTTTACGTCGTCGTCGTAGCTGCAAAAGTTGGCACGATTACGCGATAGGATCGAGCTCTTCGCTCACGAAAACCAACAAAAAAAAACACACCAAAACGAAGCAACTAGACAGGTGAGTTCGAAATGAATTTTATATTAGAAAAAAATCGATCGGTATATTCAACACAGAGCGAGCGAGCGCGTGTATACAAATGCGTGACGATCGCGGAGTAGCGGCTGCTGCTAATACGCTCGACTACATAAAAACGTAGTAGTACAGTACAAGTATGTGTACACACACGTACTACGCATATCGATTTGCGGCACGCTACTCTATATCCATTGCGACGCTCGTATATGTATACACACGCGCACTAGCTCCTACCTATATACGTATTGCGAATATATACATCTAGGCATATAGTGAAAGTTTTATATACACACATCGTCCGCAGCGTACTTGTGCGAGAGCTCCGCGCAAAGCTGATCATATTTTTCTAGGCGAATTTTTTTTCGCGCTCCTTTATGTACGCGTTCCCATTCATTCGAGCGTGATGCTTATGGCTTTGTGTTTTACTAGATTTACCCTCGTTTCGAGCCCAGACACCTCGATAAAATGGCCAGGATCGTTCGAAACACGTGTGCATGATTTTTTATTTCGTTTCAATTTTTCGCGCGTCGATCGAAACGCGAACGAACGAAAAAAAACTCTGGTTATACGCGAATTGCACAGTTGGTGTACATCGGTATATAGGACTCTGAGCTCGCGCCCGTGAGCAGCAGCAGTGGCAGCAGTGGCAGCAATTGCGCAACGCGATCAAATGCATTTCCAGCGTCGCACATGCATGCAATCGTAAGTACGTATTGGTGTATATAAACGCGTTACTTTCGTGAATTGGGATTCCGATCGGATCGCTACAACGGCAAATAATTAAAGTCTTACGCAAGCCGGATCCCCCCGCGAATCGCGGAAATTAAGCCAGCGCAGCTCGATTCAGCCGCTGCTGCTCCGCATCCTCTGCTACACCGTAACGTGCTCTGTTAATTTCGGAAAATTGCGAGCGTGTAGCTCTTTCTTCTTTCCTCTCGTTTTTTTGTTAGTCGATTCTAAAGACTATCGGCCCGTTGAATACCGCCGGATCGGTATATATAAAGTACGTAATTTATATAAACAAAATCGTGAGAGATCGATTATCGAGATCGTTGCGCGGCTATTATGTATCGATCGACGCGCTCGTGCTATATTCTCCGTTTTCTAAACGAAGAGAAATAATGACAATGAAGAGTAGGTCAAGAGCCCCGCTCGAATTACGCAATTGTATAGATATTCCAAAGGATGTATACAGGCGAGATGTATACAAACGCGTGCGACGAGCTTTTTAATCGTATTAGAGCAGGTGGAGTCGTCACGCTCGACTATACTCCGCGCACGTATCTATGTAATCCCATGACGATCGACTTTTGCCTTTCTTCTTTTTTTAATTCGCATCTCGCGTAAGATTCGACTTTACTTGCGAATTTATTTATGACTAGGCTCGAAATAGCCCGAGAGCTGAGCAATTATTTAGGCGAACATAACGAATCTCGAGTGTTCGAAGTTATTACGAGAACCACGTGATTACACGTGCAAGAGAGGCACCGATACGTTTACATGTATATGAGGTATACACGCCTTTACGCTATATACGTGTACGTGATATACACTCCGGGCGTATAATGTGCTATACATGCTCTGACGCAGACTCTAAATTACATAATCTACGCAATGAAGAAAAACACGAGATAGAGAGAGAAAGAGAGAGAACAAAGAACGAGATACATATAGAGGAGGCAGAGAGAAGCAACAGCGAAAAAAAATGTTTATGTACGCTCGTGCTGCTGCTGCGCCGCTACTCTGCAATCTGTATTGTCAGAGCGCGACTGGCGCTGTATATGTCACATAATGTGTCATTATGGTGAGCTCTCATTAGCATATATTGTAGACTTGTGTATATATAAAAGCAACGCAGTTATATCGCGCAGGTCGACGAAATTTCGTCCAACGGGCCATATTCGATCCTTATCGTCCTTTTTTTGATGTCTCAGATTTTTTTCTCTTCATTCTCCAAAAGACGCATTTTTTGATATTTTGGGTTTGAAAAATAATTTTATAGGCCGAAGCTAATAATATCTTCCGTTTTTAAGGAAAAAAATACAGCACACAAAATCGATTATACAGTATTGAGAAAGCTGATGACCTATTAATTTACTGGGAGTAGACACTGATTTACTGATGTTGAAAATTTTTATTCAAATCCATCGATACCCGTTAATGACACTTTTTCGATTTTCGCAAAAAAAACCGTATTTTCTAGCTTTTGTCTTTCTGTGTAAGCCGCCAAGTTACAAAAATGATTGTAAAAGTCAATCACCGTAGTATACATGTTTATGCAAACGTATAAAAATCGTTAGAATAATAATGAATTTTTTAAGAAATTATACGCGGTTTTTGTGAAAATTTTTTTCACGCGTTTCACGTCTTATTATATTGTTTTTACACAGCTTATAGCAATTTCATTCATATTTTTGTTAAAAAATATAAGGATCAATATTCCAGAATTCTTTTGGTATTATAGCAAGATTCATCGTATGTAAGGTATGATTATGGGCTTTTTGATTCCATCAACAGATAGAACACTGTTAATTTGTAAGTGATTAATACTAGTTTTATAGTATAATATAATAATAAAAATTCCTAGCCAAAGCCTTAAAATATATCTCGTTAATCATTGACCTCGAAATTCTTAGGCCAACGATCGTACATCCAAAAAAGATCTATATTTAAATTCTCGATTTAAATTTATCAACGAATCACGCTTGATAAATTGTTGCTCAATGAATATAATATTCGAGAGTAGTGCAGCGCAAATAGCGGAACGTTATATCGCAGTCGTTACGTAAAACTTTCACTATATGTATTGTAATTTCGTCTAGCATGTATTTCTCATCTGCATTGTAATGATAATCATCTCTCGGTGTCTATTGCAAGCGATGCACTAATGTAGTAATTTTTTTGCATGATATTACAGAGAGCGAGAGAAAGAGTGAGCAGACCCCCGATGCTACGCATTCATTCATAAGATTCACTCAGCTGCAGCATTGGGTAAAGAGTAGGAAAAAAAAGCAAAACAACAACAACAACGAGAAGAAAACAACGACAGCAGGAAGAAGTGCAGCCGAAACGAGGAGAAAGACGACGGCGAGAGAAAGGCAGGCGCTCGAGTTAACTTTAACCCTTTTGAGAGCGACGAGGACGGTGAGAGAAAAGGAAAGGAAGAAATATTCACGAAACATACATAAAGGCAGGAGAGGCTCTCCGTGTGTGCGTCCTGACTCCTGACCGGGGCCGGTATACGTACTGCGTTGTACAGGTATATTGGGGATTCACGAAGCTCGGAGCTCGGTAGTAGCTGTCAGTGTATGGGTGCGCGCGCAGCGCCTCGCACAGACACGCACACCAACGGAATCGCTCGAGCCGCAGGGCTTCGGGCCTCTCGCGACTCACTGTGTGTCTCTTGCAAAAAACCGGTTTCCTCCTGACCAACATTATACACATCCTTTCTTACGTTATAAACGCACGCACGCACACAGTCGTACTATATATATAACACAAACAACCGAAAGCAGCTCTGTTTGCGAGCGTATATACGCGAGCGAGAAGAGCGACGAGAAATCGAAAAGAGTATAAACACGCGTACGTATACGCGAGAGAAATAAAGCGAGGAAAAAAGAAGCGAGGAAAAATAAAGCAAAGAAGAGAAGGAGGAATCGAGCGGTATCGAAATTCCGCAACAGCGAGACCCGATACACAGACACTGGCACACAAGGTAGAGTCGATCGCATCGATCGTACGCGACGATCGGCCAGTTATATTTATAGTAGTGTAAGCAGCAGTCGATTGTCAGCATATACGCGCCATGCGCACGCCAAAGTGAGAAATATGTTATCGAAAAAACAGTGCACGATAGATCTGGAGTAGCAGCAGTAGCAGCAGTGGCTGCGGTGGGCCTCGACGCCTTAAAAATTCATCATCATCGTTATTGTGCATGTGCAGTGTCGTCCTCGGTATAGTGTGCATGTTGTCGTGTGTCGTCGTGCGGTGCGCGTTGGTGCGCGTGCAGCAGTGTACAACGCTGCATAGCAGCAGTAGTGTTAATAAGTAGTGCATTTTGTTTTTCTCTCTCTCTCCGTACAACAACGACACAACAGGGGGGTGCGCAAAATCCCTGCCTGCCGCCTCGCGCGCGCGATCAAAAAAAGAATCAGGGCATGAAGTATGGCCGACAGCCGTCCACCGTCAAGTGTGCGCAGTGCCGTTGTCGGCTTCGCCGATCGGGACACGGATCCGCGGCGGGGCGAACGTCGGGCGCTGGTCGCGCGCGGCGCAACGTGGGCGCTCGCCTTCGGTCTGCTCGCCTGCATAGCGCAAGTGGCGGCCACCGCCATCCCCACCTGGGCCTACTTTCACAATCCCGACGGTGAGTGTCCTTCTTCTTCTTATTTTTACTCCTCTTCTTCTTTTTTACGCTACAACACTATATCGTATTATGTATACAAACTCGCGAAAAACACGCGCGCGTTACGGCAGTCGTGCGTGTGTATACCGAGCAGAAAAAAAATCAAATCGTACACGCGCTGGACCGATAATCCTCAGCACCGCTACCACGCGCATGACTCCAAAGTAAAAACGCTTCATAATGGCTTTTTTGATTTTACAACTACGAGGCGTAACCTTATATACACATTGACACTCTCGTAATTGTCGAGCGTCAATTATTTCAAACGCGACTACAATGGCGCTGCACAAGTGATTTCGGTCTGTCGCGTTATTTTTTATTTTTAAAGCCTCGTGAATGATTTAACGCTTTTTTAACGGCTTTGACAAGTTCACGATCGAATAATGTATATGGGCTGTTTTGTGTCAAACCTAGCACTGCTCAACGAGTTACGCTATGTTTAAAAAAATCTCTTTTATTCAATCCAGATTTAATGTACAATCAGATACTAAAATTAAAGTAACCAATACAGAATTTCATTTAAGAGCACTTTAATGAACCCTTCCCCAATAATTAATGAAACAGTAATGATTTATTTACACAAACTGCATAAAAATGCATAACAATTTAATTATATGCACTACTTAAAATGAAAAATGAACTAAAATCATTGATGTATAAATATTCAATGATAATTAAATTCAGCATTCGCCACTAGGTGGTGAACACTTTTATATCTGTAAATCTGCAATTGGCAAAATCAAAATAATTATATAAGTCACAGCCATCACTTGTCTTTTTCGAACCTCAATCCCTTCTAACCACATCAGAATTCAAAGTATCGTTAGTAATAATTCTATTATACACTTGACTTACAGTGTTACACGTATTGAGTTGTCGTAGCCTTGCGCATCACGGGTATCGTCGCAACCTCCCCATAGGAAAAAATCGCGAAATTCCTGCAAGATTTTCTGCAGAAATCCCGCATTCCTGCAAAAATTCTTGCAGGAATTTCGCGATTTTTCCTATGGGTCTGGCGAGACGAAAAGATCAATGTGTTACACAAACAATTAAGTTTCTTTTTTGTTTTTTAACAGATATTATATTTTATATCCATCATAAATTTACTGATTGACCGACCTATTGTTCAGGAGGTAGTGACCGTAACACCATTCGTAATAAACACTTCAGCTGAATGATGTGCTCTAAAAAATTGTTCAGTGCTTAGGTTCAAACTCAAACTCACTTTACTATTATGTACTAGGAGACCCTAAACAAAGTTTGGTGAAGATCTGTCACACGGAGATGAAAAGTTCTTCTTATTAGTCCTTGAAAAAATATGAGATAGTAATTTAGAAATGTCGTATTGTTTGAATCGTCATATCTTTTCACAATTTACAAGTGTATTTGATATTATTGATATTTCATTCTAGTTGACACGATACAAACATATTTTTTTCTATTTTCTCTGACCGATTAAAAGGGAAGGAAAAATAATCGAAACTATTTTCCCGAGTAAACATCCATGCGGTTGGAAAGGCTTCAATTAGAAAATTGCAAGTACCGATGAAATTGATCTTTCGCAGCTTCGCTCATAGACGCGTGTAGCAGTCATTCGATACTCTCTTTCTCTCCACTAGTTTTTTTTATCGTCTTGATGAGTAGTTATTACAAACTGTAATCGGGGCCGGCTTCGTAACAGTATCTATTGCTCTCTCTCTCTCTCTCTCTCTCTCTCGGCTTGTAATGTACCAACGTTATACATATATACTCTCACTTTGTACAACAACACACACTATAAGGCACAACCTCGGCCGGTGTACAAGGTATATCGGTTTATCGGGTGTACCGCAGCACCACAGCAATTTAGAAACTTTACAACATTCATACTCGATTTATCCATCTATATATCGATGATAATTACATGCGCATAGAGGCCGGCCGAGCATCAAAACGAATGAACGAGCTGTGAAAACATTTCGCTCGAACACTCAACTGTACACGCATGTGTTATTTGTTTATCGACATTATTGATAACATTTTTTTCTTACATTTCTCCTTTTTCCTACCAATTTTGACGTTTTTATATCAGTTAGAATTATAGAGTTTCAAGAAGACTCTCGAAATGATGGATTTCTAGGATATAAGATGATGATATGCGATATATGCGCGCGGGCGAGCGATGCGCAGGAGGACGTCCTCATTATAATACGTTCAAGGCCACTTTTGTTGGTAAAAAGTGCAAGAGAGGGAGAGATTCTTTGTCAGCTACTTGACATTAATTGACTGCAAAAAATGTCGAACGGAAATATGATCGAGTCTTGCAAGCGTGTCAGTTGCACATGCATTACGCGAAAACGTCAATTCGATTGCATTCTTACGTGCGAGTAAAAGTCGTACTTTTTGTCCTCGATACACGACATTCGACACCATGGGTCGTTATCATGAGATCAAAATTTGACTCTAAAAAAATCGATATAATTAGGCGATATCGATGGAATCATCCGCTCGCGCTGTCTCCTCTTTTTCTCGCTCGACGCCATTAATTGAATAGGCATTTTAATTGGCTTTAATGCTCTCTTGCACACACAAACAGACTCGCGCGTCTATGGGAAAGTCGATCGCTCCTCTTTTTCACCTCGGATGATGTGCGCAGTGCAAGGAGCATTGCCCATTATATATACGATGTCCGGACAGCGTGGATCCGAACAATGCCACATACACATACAATAATGAGTACCAAGGGATTATATTATATGCAAACGTACTGCACACTTATGCACATGTGCGCGCGGCGATTCATCGATGACGCAACCTCGAGTTTTCCGTATACGAATCGACGTTAGCCGCGGCTACTCTAGCTGCTGCTGTGCAGCGCTATACGTTTGCTTTTGAATCATTTTTTATCGCTCCGTGCGAGCCTCGCGTCTCTCGACATAACAATATTAAACTCTGCTCACGTTTGTCGCGTATACGTGTATGTATAATAATATGTATTGAAAACGTTAGCCGAGGTATGTGTCGTCGATCGGCAGCTGCGCTTGCATATATATATGCGCGCGACGCGCCTTTAATTAAATTTCTGTATACCTCGTCGAGCGGTGCATTCGTCGATGCCTCGTACATTTTAAATGTGCCTTTTATTTCGAACGATCGCCTTGTATATGAGTGTTTCTGACTAACTTTTAAAATTGCACGTACTGATGTGTAAGTCAGGTAATTTACCATGCACAGTTCTGAAATTTTATCAGGGTCTTTAAGAAGACTTGAGAGATCTACACTTTTATTTTTGAGCGTTTTGGTGGCCCGTCCTTTTTGTATCGCACGTTTGAAAATCGATTTTACTCTTGAGTCAAAAAACGTACTGCGAATAAAATAAATTTTCGATAGCTTCTTAAAAAATGGACTATTAACCAAATGATCTGAAATTATCATGTTACCTTCCTTTATTCACATACTTTAGAAAAATTTGTGACCTGAACTTGATCCTCCTAAATTGGAAATTTCCCAGAATGTTTTCCGCGCGTACTGGATTATTTGAACTTTTAGCTTTTTTTATACATTTTCATTTTTTACAATGGACTATTGTTTTTTTTTATATCTGTATACATGTTTAAAAAGGGCTGGAAAAGACGAACAAAATGAGCCCAACCAGAACTCTGTCCCTTATTTAATAAGAATTGTACGCTGGATTGAACATTCGATAATCCTGCGTTAATCACTTAAAAATTTTTGAAAAAAATTTTTTTTTCATGAAATTTTTTTCTACTATGAATAAATTAATTAATTTATAAAAAAAATTTTTTTCATGGGAAATTTATAAACAATTTTTATAAAAAATTTTTTTTTTCATGAAAAATTTTTATAAATATATTTTTTTTCATGAAAAATTTTTTTCTTATCATGAATAAATAAATTATTCAACAAATAATTTTTTTTCACACACTTTCTTTTTTTATTTAAAAAATTTTGCTATATCATCAAGGGCAAGGCCGTAAAAAAAAAATTTTACATTTAATTCATTTATAATGACTACGCAATTCGCCTACGTAGATAATTATGTGCGGGATGATATAAGTAATGTCACATGAAAACACATGAAAGAAAAAGGGGTTTTTTCGCTTCAAAAAGTGCATAAGGAAACTTGAAAAAATCCAAAGAAATTTAAGGTCATGTTTTTCAATGCATAAAACAGAGAAAAAAATTTTCGAGTTTGATATTGGCTCGTATCGCCGTATATAAATTTTCCAAATTTTTAATTATTTTATCTGAAGGCCTGAAGCCCTCGAAAAATCTGAAGAAATTCAAGGTGCTTAGTTTTGTTGATATGTACTATTATGAATTTTTTCAGATTTTTTAATTACTTCAGGGCTTCAGAATGAATATAAATAAAGAATGGACGTTTATAGGGGTGGAGGGGGTAGGAGGGGGGGATGGGGAGTAAAATTTTGGCTTTAGGATTTTTTTACCATGTACTATAACATATCAAAAGCGCATCTAGATCGGTGTCATTCGAAAATTTGAAGAAGTTTTATTTTGACCCACATTTAAATCGGGTTTCCCAAATGGACTATGGAGGAAAATAAAGCCCAAAGTTATTTTTGGGATTCTTTGTTGATAATATTCAAGAAAAATTCATTCCGGATACTGTGCCGCTAAATTTTTCATCAAAAATTTTTTTAGGCGTTATTTTAAAAGTTAGTCAGAATCACTCATATAGCTTCGATGTTTCGTTTTTCAAAATCATCATAATAGACTTTGTAGTACTGCGCTACGATGCAGGACCAAATCTGGCTTTGCTTTTTTCATGATTTTTATAAAATATAACGGGGAAAATTGGAGTTACGCGCGTCGGTTAATTCGCGCGACAGCGCGCGAGCAAAAATTAATTAATTTATCAAATGAAACGAAACGGCTGCGGCTGTTGTACATCATTTTAGTCGTGTTAAAAAATATTAAAAAAAAAAAGTAAAAGCAAATAA